CTCTATATATATATATATATATATATATATATATATATATATATATATATATATACAAGACGATCTCAGTATCTAAACGAAGACGCATGTACAAATGGTAACGTTAAATGTTAAAAAACACAGCTTTGGCATTTTTATATAGAGAGAGTTGTTTTCGTGTTTCTGGAATATATTCGTTGGTACTGACATTTATTGTAAAATGAGCCCAAGCACACGAAAAAGATGTGACAATGAAAACAGCAAAGACATACATCAAAGTCAAAGAGGGGTCTGAAGACAATCAGTTTATCAACAATTATACCACGTAATGGAATAACAGACGCCAAACGTCTGTGTGGGCCTGAAATCTGATCATTCCTCACGCCTCTGCTGCTTCTAGGAACCCGACAAGAAAACCTATTATCGCCAACGCAGCAGTAAATCAACTGGACACCTTATTACTCAAAGTCTACGAGTTTTTTTAGCTTTGTCTTCTGTGACAAAAAGTCACGAAAAATAGTAGTGACCCAACATACAGGGGTGCCAAATAATTAATCAGAATTTTACGGAATTCATACGATCGTTACTAGAAACATACGAAGTTTACAGAATACAAATCAAATCAAATCAACTTTATTGCTCAACAACTGTAGCTGGTACAATGTATGGCAAAGAAACAACAATGCTATCCATTACGCGGAAACATACAGAGTTTACGGAATACATACCATCCATTACGCGGAAACATACGATCCTTACTAATTTGGGGTCATTTGTGGTCATTTGGTGACTTGCCGCAGCGATCACCGGTTCCACCGTTTCTCAGCATCGCCCTGCTATTTGATCTAAAACACAGGCTACTATGTCGTGAAAGAAGTCCGCATAAGTGCTGTTTGGGATTTAACAGGGCAGGACAAGCCCTTAAAAGTCTTTGAAACCAAGATATTGTAGGGAGAACATCGCTATAATAGTCCGCCATCTTGAATTTGCTGCCGATGTTACGTGATCGTGGTGCAAGTCACCAAATTAGTAAGGATCGTATGTATTCCGCGTAATGGATCGTATGTATTCCGTAAACTTCGTATGTTTCTAGTAAGGATCTTATGTATTCCGTAAACTTCGTATGTTTCCTAGTAAGGATCGTATGAATTCCGTAAAATTCTGATAAATTCTTTGGTACCCCTGACGTATGTAACAGATTTCGCATCTTGTCACATACGTGAACAAATCAAGTCACTTCTAGATCTATTGTATCATACTTACTTAAAGAAAACAACATGCATATCGACAATAAATATATATATAATTCTTCTGGAAGCAAACGATAATTCCGTTATTCATTTTCCTAGCAAAAGCGTCAACCGGTACTTCAACAAGCGGAAAAACCTCATGCACCAGTTAGAAGTGGAGATCTCTGCGGTACGACAGGAGTATGACTATGATGGGCCGACCGCTAGACGACTACAGAGGCGGTAAGAATTATGTCATTCTATTTTACCAATTATGATTTTTTTCGTAGTATCGATAGTCACCGGTACCTATATCTATGCTCCACCACCTAGATAATATAATTTCTTCCGTGATTAGGTCCGGTGTGTGTGATTATGTATGATATCAATATCCATTGCATATTCATCCCAAAAGGGCGAAATACACAAGTGACAAACAGTGGTCTAGTCATCAATGTAAAGCACTAGATAATCCTAACACACTTAAACACAATGTACATGTACTATACTATTACTACTATGTAATAAAACACTATACGTGGGTGTGAATCTATTTGCCTAACAGTTTCTTATCTCTGTTTGAGACATATGGAGACATAGCTATATAATTTGCCCATCATATGTTCATTCGTGCATGACATCAGTTATCTGAAACAGATATAAAACAAAACCCTCTTCTTTACTCCTCTCCAGAGTCTCCATGATAGACAAACGATGTAGGGAGGAAAGACTAATGTCGGACGGAATCATGTCTACCATCAGTGTGCCTTCCGACTTTAAATACCACGTGGATAACGACCCTTGTAGGAGCGAGGATTTGTCTGTCCCGGGAAGACGGCCGAGCGTTCCGGTTGGGATATATCCTAGCCTTCCACCAAATGCTGCCAGAGAATGTCATGCAGAGATTCACGGTGAAACGCTTGTACTTGAGAAACATTCCGAAGTAAGCTCGGTCATGCAGGACGGCATCGCTGGATCGGGCAATGCCGTGGTTGGTTGGCGTCTAGCCAGCGAAGAATCGCCTGATGTAGGTGAGACATATTCCAAACTATGGACGCCACTGTACCCTTTAGCCTTCGCTTTCCGAGAGTACGCCTGGAGAGACGCTGTCACCGACATGGGGGAAACCTTCCACGGCGACGACAAGGATCACGAAAGCAGCGAGGAAGAATTAAGCGTGTTGGGGGGAGGGAAAGACGACAGCATTGAGACCACTGAGGGTAGAATACAGCACGAAATACAGGGCGAGGAGGCTATAGGGAATGGGCTTGAACATCCTGACGTGCGGGATAAGTCTATGGCTGACAAGCGGCAGTACAGCGACACGCCGTTCTTTCGCCCTATCCAAGCAGAGGACGCCTCCATGTCGTCTGATCTAGATTACTACTCGTGTATCGATTCCGACGATTCCCTTCAAGTTGTCCGCAGACCGTCCACGGTTCACGTCCAGGTACTAGAACGCCCCAGCGCGATAACTATATCAAAAAGTGAGGACGTCCTGGCGGAAAATTCACCTCCGCTTGATGAGGAGCACAACGGAGGCTTGACTTACAGGAGTCAGGGTGCGTCCCTAGGTCAATCCGGCAGCAGTTCGGAGCTGCGGACGCCCAGTAGGCAATCCTCAGACGGTACAAGAAGAAGCCCATTAGTTCGACAGATGGCTATTTCCAAACCAAGCTTTGACGATGACGAAGACACTACCAGTACATCTACACCAATCAAAAAGAAGCCACCACATCAATATGAGTCAGACGAGAGTACAGAATCAAGACAAAATATATTTATTCACCCTGCACTTGTACATAAAACACCAGATGACACTGCCACTTCACAGAAAGAGACAATGGACGTCGAGTTAAAGAACTCGGTGGCCAAGAGACAGAACCTAACACTACCAATACATCCCTATGCAAGTGATGCTTTAAATAGCAAGCGCCATTCAAAGGACATGAGCCCCTCAGATGCCAGTGACATTGCCTTCACTACACCTTCGTCGGAATCCATGTATTCAACTTGGCCTACAAGAAAAAGCAGCACGGATTTGTCGAGGCAAAAGAGCAGCTCAAACGTATCTTATCAAGATATCGACAACTATTCCAGCATTGTCAGTACTGACGATAACTCCCCTTCTAACTATGCCCTGCACCGTTTCTCGTTATCTGAACGGCCTCAGCTGGAACAACGTAACACTCAACCAACTGATGTTTCAGATTCTAATTCTGATACTTGCGTGCTGAACATCGTATGTCGGCCAGGTAGAAAGACTGCCGACCTAACTCCGGACTCACCGAGCATGACTTACCCCTGGAGTGATAATAAGACCGGTCCTATTTACAAACTCCGTGTTAACGAGGCAGGAGTTGATGAGAACTGTGCAGGTGGTACTAAAACTGGAACAACAGTTTCAGAGCTGATAGCGAGACGGGGCCCATCGGTCACACCGGAGGCTAATGAACTGGTGATTCCTTCGGATGAAGAATGTGGACGGACGTACGATAATCATCAGCAAGGGGCTGGGCAGGGCAATGTTCCCCTTGAACCGGATCAAAGCGTGATTACATCTGAGCTAGCAGCTATCTCTCCGGGTCACAAAATCAGAACCCCGATCCAAGGAACCAAAGCTGGCGGTTCACAGATGTCTGTTTCAAGTACGTACACTCGGCATGGCTCGGAAAGACATAGAGATATGTATAGTCGCCGGTTTAGCACTGGCAGACAAGAAGTAAAAATGATAGAAAATGAGGGGGTCCCGACGCGAGCTCACACAGAAAAACACAGAAACAGTGAGTCATTTTTGCATAGCCAACATCTTTCCAAGGCCTCTTTCCGTAAGACTTCAGACAGTAGTCAAGAGTATAAATATCCCGAGCTACGGTTGCAGGATTCTGATGAGACTGATAGCAGTGTTCTTAAACAAAACGTGCCCAGAAAGAGAGGTGACGAGTCTCCTGATAACATCAACGCCGTAAAAGATCGTGAAATCAGCGATAAAGATGGTTCAATTCTGCCCACGTCGTTTAGACGACCATCAAGAGACTCGCTTTGCAGTGTAGAAAGCACTGGCCACCAACAAGAAGGACGATACAGGGGAGTCGCCCGAGTTGATGACGGGTGCAAGGACGTGATCACACCCGGGCATCAGATGGTTAAAACACCAGCAGGATTTACTGGCGAGCTTTCCCCGACCAGTATAGATCTAGATAACTGCAAAGGTTCCCCAGAAGAGCTGGCTAAAGTACACAAATGCAGTGAACGCTGCCGTACGCGTCATAGATCATGTGTCCTGGAGTCTGGATGTTGTACCACGGGTGATCAGGATAACCAGGATTTTGAAACGTACACAGCCGCCGATGAACGTTCAGGACGCCCACGAGGTCGCACTAGCATCGACAAACGAGACAGTGGCTACCAGGAAACGAGTACTACAGATTCTAGTTTTCAGGTGATCTCCAAGACTGCATCATCGAAGATGAAGGAACCTCAGGCAGCTCATGCTCAGCCGTTGATACACGGTAACGGTCTGGGGCGGGGTGAGGAGAGGAGTCGATCGCGAAATAACGGTAACGTGCAGTACGACTCCGAACACCGAACGTTACCTTTCACTCTTATCGACGACGTTTTGGAACTCACTGATTCAGAGACGGAGACTTCTAGACCGTCATCCCGAAAGCGACAGAGCATTTCTGAAACAGATGTATGACCAAATGAGGTCCGCAAACCTTGTCATATTTATACATCACACTTCTGTCATTTCCCTATCCATTCTTTCATTCCTTAATCTGTGTGCGTGAAACAATCCGGCGTGGACCAACATTCTCGCAAAGAAGGCCGTATACTTGCTCAAGGGATAGAACGGAAATAACTTAACCATGCTGAACTCAATACGACCGGAGATGCACGCACGGCGTGTTATACATTGCCGTCACTATTCCGATGACTAGGTATATTAAGATGTACGTTGATTACTTGTTGCAGAAAAGGTCAAGGTGGCACTACCCCATAACTTGTGAAGCTAAGCGCAATTACCGAACGCTACCAGACCGAATAATTTGTTTTCATACATGGAAACTTTAAATCACTATGCAGGACTCATTCTACGGATACCCACCACAGCTTAACAGTCTTCTAATGGAATGCGTATTATGTGTGTAAAATCCAAGTGTGTTTTGTCAACTAAGGCACGGTATATAGATATAGATAATCTTCATTTGTAATTATACATGTACGTGAAAGGACGGGAAGAAGATATTCTTCGACTTTTTCTGCAATTTACTGGTTTTGTCTCTCATTTTGGCCCCACAGGTCAGGTCGGGCAATCGCTTTGTAAATAGATGTTGGTTCCTGGGAATAATGAGGTGATTTGGGTCACTCAATCGAGGAGAACGTAATCTGTAGCACAACATGCGACGGGAACGAGCTGGAAAATCATTCTGTCAAACAATACCAACGTCTAAAACATTGTGTACTGAAAAAAAAATACTCGTACTATTTTACTTCTTGTCACAACTTGATAAAGCGCCACCTGTCGGATAAGTCAGAACCCTGCATCGCCAGCAGCTGGTTTCCAACGACAACATCATGATCATTACCAGTCTTGTATCATCTCGCAGTACCCTCTATGCATGACATTGTATGTGACATCGACAACAAAGCAATCTGTGCTGAGTGGCGTGTAGAGGAGAGATAAGCTCGCACATCGTCGTATCGATCAAATCAGGGTGGTAAGAGTCGACAGCTACAGGCAGGGAACCTTCAGATCTTATCACTGTTCGTCACCTGAGCGATTTACACAGAAATACCGCCCGTGAAGAAAATAAAACACACGTTCTATGGAGAAGATCGATCTCACAAAAGGAAATCATTGCAATGGTCAGTATTCGTCAGACAACGCTTGCATATAAGTGGATAGCATTGAATTCAAATTCAGGTATAGTTACAATGACAATGTAGATTGCCATATGTTTATTATTTTATCAGCTCATCCTTCTAAGCGGTAGAATACATATGGACAGCCTCTCTTTATCATCCCACGAAACTTGCAAGTACTAGTGAAAAGAGTGACCTTATATATGCTGACTACGCCGAAATCCATGATGAAAAGCGTCTTATGGTAATACCTTGCTGATGATGACGAATATTCGACCTTCGATACATTCCCGGTGGGAAATGAGCTAAAATAATATAAAGCCGGCGATGGTAAGTCAGTGACGTGGTATGATGCATGTTTCACCACAATACCCTTTACTGACCATCCAACGGTTCTGATGGCCCTATGAAGCGTACGCTCAGAAGAGTGCGCATATTCTATCCTCCAAGCCGATGTCACTGGTTGGAGTTTGGCTTATTTTTGGCGTGTTTTTAGGCTTTTTGATCGGGGTTTCTTTTTTGCACTGGATTTCTTTTACGCCATCCCTAAAAAGTTCCATTGCAAAAAGAAACCTCGATAAATACGCCTAAAAACTCGCCAAGACTAAGCCAAACCCAAACCTCTGCTTGGAGAGTACGCATATTCTAGAAGAGCCGTCAGACCGGTCTAGCAGGCGGCCACAGTTCATTTCACGGTAGAAACGTCTTGGGATTTGGATGGCAATTAGAAAATTAGCCAGCAAAGTGCTACCCTGGACACGGTATTTTCTAGTGGTTGTATCTGATTTAACAAGGCAGAACTACTGAACAATAATGAGATATAGATATGTTAGGCATTTCCATCGATCATCATAAAGATTGATAAGAATAATTCGTATCACGCCTCTTAGCGGAATATAGTCTACAATACATTAACAGTGTCGTGAGCATAATGCAAAATATAACAACAACGTTAACGTTATTCGTATAGCGGAAGCCGTAGTTGGTTACAGGCGACTTTTACTGTCATCTACGTCTTTAGCTACTGAATTCTATAATCTTTAAAAGCAACACCTGTTTCCTTCTACAGTACTAGTGCACTATGCCCCCATGTGTCACTTACTTAAATCGATCTTTTTCTCCAAACGATTATTTCTACATTTCAGATTGCAGTCTACTCTGGCACTTACGTAAACAAAAGGGTAGCAAATAGCTTGAAAATGGCAGACGTGTACAAAAGATTTCGCTTGAAATGGTATTATCATTTAGACAACCCTGCCGAACAAAAACACCCTAGTCTAGCCTCTTGGGTGACGGATAAGCCTGAGGCGACTTATACCTAAATCCATGGAGACCTGGACAAACAATGGCAAACCTAAGAAGCACGCCACGTAGGGTAGTATTAGAACTAGATCGGGAATGGTGCAGTACAGTTGTTTGTGCCACAGTAGCGCAAAAGCGCTGTTTTTACTTTGAGTAACGAGTCCTAACGAAAAGTGTCAGCGTCCATGCCAAAACTCTCGCTATGCTCTGGTGTTGGTGTGCCTGCTCATACCCGCATATCCAGTCACAAGTCAGACAGGTGGGTACTTGTTTTGCTTCTGTCCATAATGGCGGAGTGGTAGACTATCACCAAACTGTGATGAAAATCTCATGGCATATCACTCATGATGAGCTCCAATGAAAACATGTCTTTAGCATCACACACTTAGCGTTACAGAAAAGGTTTGTATCAAGCAGAAATGGTCGCAAATGTCTTGTTATTGTCATTCTAGCACATCTGCAAACACGTTATCGGAAGCAAGCTTTGTTTACGAAAGGGATGAGAGCGCCAAACGGGCATTGTGAGTAGAATCACGACAAGGCAAAATTACAAAGAGTGTACGGTATGCACAGTGTACATTGTATACATTTTGTACTTTATTGATTTACGAAACGGGACAGTATTTAACATCTTATATACTATCGATACCATGGGTCTTGTACAATGCTCAACGGCACACTCTGCTTATGCTTGGGTATTCTTACATAACGTGTTATGCAATTGAATTGGTGTATACAATAAAAAAAAACCTGGTTAAGCAATCATGTACTCGGAAACAATGATTGAAACAAAAGAAACGCGATACGCATGGTGGACCGGGATGACGTAGGCAAATTAAAATGTACATCATAATACACAACTAACAGGTTCCAAATCAACTTTTAAATGGCTACATTTTCACTATCACAAGGACCCCACTAAACAATACCTTTGACGTTATAGTGGCAGGCGTTCTGTTCTAACGCTTCGACGACAGCGTTCAGCTTTCTGCCATGTATAATATACCTGTATGTAACACCTGGCACTAGAAATTGACTTTTGGTGAAGGAAACCATTATTGTAATGGGACGAAGGCTTTCAATTTTATAAGGGTAACACTATCAAAGGTTGTAGTGTGTGTTGTTTTTTTAATCGTACTTATGCTTATATCTATGTACCAACAGACTATCAGTATCAAATATGTTAATTGTAATACATGACCACATGTACTTGCTGTTTCAACCCACAGGTCAGGACAACGCCAGTACCCCATCACAACAAATGTCCACAACTGATAACCCTACGCCTACGCGAAGCATCAGGGACACAAATAACGTGACAGCACAGACCCAGGCCATCCGTTCCGGAGGTGCCGCGCCCTTTGAGCTCCCCGAGGCAGTTGGAGCTGTGGTCTTGCTTCTGATTCTATTGGGAGCCAGTATCGGCATCAGTAGACTTGTCAACTATTGCTACCACAGAGACGTGAACAGACTAAACTTTGAGGAGGCAAAGCATGCTGCTCCCAGGGCTCACCCAAACAATACGCAGAGAGATGACGAGAAGAAAACCGGTGTTTCAAGGGCATCCAAAAACAGACGCGACGCCTTTGGGTGATCAGGACAGTAACTGTCAAGAAATGACGGTGTCATATGACAATGCCGAAGTTCGACAAGAAGCTTCCATCAATGGGCACGTCCCATCAGATGAGAACAGAGCTACGAGAAGGACCTTGGAGAATCCAACTTTATTACCAGATAACGATATTTGGAGTATTGTAAATAAAATACGCACCGCTCGACCTTGCGACACGACCCAAAGGACTGCCACGGCGTCTGAGACAGTCGACCGCCTCTTGTACAGCGGAACTCTGAACCCATACAAAAGCAAAAGAATGTCGAAGAGAAAAGTACGGACCAAGTCAAGGTGCTCAACCATCAGCCAATAATGGACGGGCTTTCAAATATCAACCTGAAGATGGCAAATATACTAGTAGTACAACGGCAAAACAGGACGACCAGTCAGTAAAGAAGAAACACTGTGCAGATAATGAAACTGTCGACGTACCGTATCAGAAACCAATCTTAGATGCCCTTTCTCCCTCGTCAAAAGAAGAATATGAAGGCAATGCCGACACCAGAACATCTCAAATGAAAGAACAAACATCGATATCAATACACATGTATGGCCCTGTAAGCGAAGATCCAGACAACGCGTTGTCCAGATTGCCAATCACAAATGAGCCGACTTCCACGTCGAAGGAACAGCTTGAAGACAGCGTACACCGTACTGTACCAAGAGAACAATCATCAGTGCAGATAGAAGATACTAGTAGTCTTGCCAGCGAGCGAGCTCAGCACAAAATATTGTTGCAACAAGAAACGCGTGAAGAGTATAACATCAACACGGTCTCGCAGGACGTAAATAGCTACGAATCCTACAATTCTAAAGAGGCCGCGATCACTGTTTCCAAAGAGAAGAAAAAGAAAACCAAGAGGAAACGAAAAGACGACGATCGCGGAACACAGTCATCTCAGGATGATCGTGAAGTATCCATCGCGAATAGAGACACGGCGATACCCCCAGTAGTCGAAAACGAGAGTGCTACTCCTAATGTTACTAAAACAACATTAAGTTCCAAGGCACCAAAACGTCGCAAGAAAAAACGGAAAGCACGCAAAACATCGGCTTCAGAAGTAATCGAAGGCACAAATGTACTGGACAAAACACAAAGTACACACACCATTGAAACAGCTCCGGGAGACTTCCCTCCCGAAGTCAGCCAGGTGAATGTAAGGAAAAGAAAACTACTCGATCTTCTTACCGCGGAGCGTGGACTCCTGTCACCCACCAGACGACATTACACAGAACCAAGTACAGAATTGCCCAATGCTGGTTACCATGTGGTAGATATACACAGAGAATAAGACGGTACAATATTGGGATTGCAAGAAACAATGGTGGGCTCAAGTATGAATTCTAAGACTGATAATTATGCTGTAGAGGACGGGTGTCATGTGAACGGTGGTTTTGAAAGAAGTGACGATGTGTTTATGGATGAGAAACTCTCTCAGAGCGATAGAAGTGATAACAAACATGACCAAATAAGGGCGACACGATCATCTATTCCAGATGTCAGTTACAGTCGACTGCGCGCTCTATCAATGACGTCATCAATGTACGGGAAAAACAAAACGAATCCTCGTCAAAATGTCACCGAAAGAGAACTACATAAAAACTGTTGGGGTAGTGAGAGCAACGGTTCTCAAAAAGAAATCTACGATCCGCAAGAGTATATCAAGCGTCTGGCACAGTTAAGAAAAAATAGAAGTTCAACTTCAACTAGAGCGGTTAGCTGCGCAGATGAATAATATCAATCATATTCATGCAGGTTGCATTGCACATTAGATTGACAGGCAGACATGAGAACCATTGTCATCCCTTGTAATGATTATTATTGTGAGAAAACTTTTTCTACTGAAGCATTGTGGATAAAAACATTAAAGTTTGGGCTCAAGTTCGATGCTGTATTGTTTCATGTAAGATTGATATTAACGTTAAGTGTTCACCCTCAGTCATCTGTATTAACACGAAGAGTACATAAATATTTTTCTTTCAGTCGGCATATCATCTTACCAAGGATATCTTTCTAAAAGTCTAATTAACCCATGGGTGGGGTGGGGGGTAGGGGGTGCAGAAAGTTCCAGGTTGTCTTCAGAGTTTAGTACATTAATCTGGCTATTCACAACAGACAATGGCTCACCGAAACTCATCATACAACATTACACAAATGAGCATTTAAGTTGGGAAGAAATATTTCGAACTGATAATCGATCTTTCCTTGAACGTACCATCACACGGGTGACTTGTCTTCTTTCCTTTTATCTCCTGGTGCATCTCACGGCCTTTGACCCTTGACCGAAAGCGCGGGAAATCTCGAGACAGCTGGGGACGTGGACGTGTCCCGGTAGGTACGGAGGTATTTCCTTGATGATGATTGCGTCGTATCACTTTGAAAGACGTCGTGATGGTATGAATTAGTGTCCTCTGGACAGGAAGGGTGTTCTCGATTACGATTGTGGTGTTTTCGGCATTTTCCAGGATGCTTGCGTAAGAAGTAATGTGTAGATGCGCTGCCATTTGCTTGGTTTTAATACAGATCGTTTTAGAATGGGTACCATCCGGATTTTCGCTCCGCAACGATCCGGATGGTACCCAGGTTAAGATCATTAAACATTTTAAAGAAGAAGATTGAGACAATATAGCAGTGCACTTGGCAAAAACAACATTTTTAATCACTGCAAACCTTGCCTATTAAATATTAAATGTGGCTTTATCCGCATAATCATTACTAGTATGTCATTGTTTTAAAAAATTATGGTCAATTAAAACCGATGTCTCACACTGAATAATACTGGCAATAGACTAATGTTCCACTTGATTAATTTGATCATAACTGTTAAATGCAACACAAATCCGTAGCAGCAGCAAAATGTATCTAAGCAGTATACCTAACTGTTTTGGTACAAAAAAAGTTAATATAATATATATTTCCAATGTGGCAGTCACAAGTCTTGTCATGGATAAATGAACTCCAGTCTTATTATATAATATTTCTTCACCAATAACTCTACATGTTCTGTCACTTCAATATTTAAAGTCATTAGTTACATTCTGCACATCAACTACAACACTCCTTTTCTTAAATTTGATCTGCTATGAACAGTGGAAGGCACAGTATTAAGGACTTGAAAGCTGTAGTACTAGTAGTTATGTTTGAATTAGGATCTGTACTTAGTCAGGGAAAAATTGTTTCATGGGAATACGAACATCACTTGGGGTCGCAGAGTCACGCAAGATGGGATACAGACGATTGGTTCTCACAGGGTCCATGGAGCGTGCCCCAGGCGACAGGACTGTGAAAACGTCGCTCGTGGGATGAATTCCGCTTTTAATGTCCACGGAGGATCCACCCTGACTTTCATTGTCATAGATTGGTCTTCCTGACATGGACGTCGATGGTCTTTCTGATTGGTCGTCGTTTTCGTATTGTGGTGGAGCATCTGAGTTGATATGTGACAACCATGCTGCCATTCGTAGGCTTTGCTGCCTTTCAATGTAGGCTTGGTTTTGGTAGCCAGGTAGACTAGAGTCAATGTCCTCGTAGATGGGTTCTGGAGAAGGTCCTACCCTGCGGCTGCTAGTGCTACCGGAAGTAGGTCTTGAGTACGGGCCTGCCTTTTTCTTCTTTAGGCACCAAGCAAGTAACACTGATATAAAACAAGGCAAAAATGACATAGCTTATTAGATAAAGACATGAAATGCCAAGAGTCTTAAGCATTTCATTACATAGCTGTTAAAATAATGCAGGAAAACATTGCAGGAAGTCTAAGTCAGTCAGTATGAAACATAAGTTCCAGATTTATTCTACACTGTTAAAACAACAACAAAAAAACAATACAGAGGACACATAATGAAAATGGAATGGTTTTGTGTAAAAACTACAAACACTGAACATGTAACGCTACATACCACCAAGCGAGATGACAACAAATCCACCCACACAGCCGGCAGCAATGAAGACAACAAGTAGATCATCTGTGAAAGAAAGCAAACACAAGCCACATTTAAAATTTTGAACAAATTGATAAAAACTACAAATATCTAAAGCAGTGCAACAGCTATAGGAACCTATAGAATCTCCTTCACAATCCTAAAAGGACACATTTTAATTAAGTCAGCTCATAATACCAGGTTGATATTTCAGAGTATGGCTTTAGATATTTCATTCCACTTAATATGTGAATGTTTGGTCCAAATAAACTTTTGTGAATACATTGTACTACATGTATGTAAGTTGTACTAATGTAATGAATTTCCTGTTATACCATGGCCATTCTCACAAGTGGTATAAATATATGGATGATGATCATATATACATGTATTTACATTAATCATAGCATTTAAGCAACTTAATCCTTAGTCTACTTTGCATCAATCACTAGCTTAGATAGATGATGCCAGGACTGAGACCTACATGTATCCTTACATTTTTACTGGATTGGCTATGGCTGCCATTATCCTTTACATGTACTAGTAAACTGAGATTTTCTGGAAGTGGATATGAGAGAGGTTGAGAAAATCAAAGGCTCATACCTTCCCCTGGACATGATCTATGGTACATGTCTACAGACACATTGAAGCCACGCAGGTCATTTCTGCTGGTGCCAACTTCTTTCAACTCTGGAATGTCGTATTCTCCTCCATGTTCCGGTGGAATCGTGAAGGTCATTATCAGCTCGACCAGTACTTTGCCTCCCGATCCCTCTCTGTATAAGATTCAAATATAATGAGAATGCAGGAAAAACTTCCTCATACAGGAACATTCGTTCACTTGATGAAAGTTTAAAAGGTGACATTACAAGCTAATATATCCTGGATCTAGCTTTGATAATTTCTTTGATAACACCATTCTAAACATGAAAATTTGTAAGGAAAACATAAGAGCAGGCTCTAATTTCTTTCCCAACATATGATGACAATTGCAAAGTTGTGGCAAGCTAGAGGAAACCTCTTACCTGATGTTATTGTAAGATGAGTTGATTCTCCAGGACTCGTATACGTAGCCATTACCGGTAGCTGTATAAGCATCCCGTGTCTGGAATGAAAATTTGATCATCATCAGTGGTATCAGGTGGGACCAAACTTGACTACATACACATACTTCACTTCAGTTTGCCCTATCAAGTATTGCTTTTTTTCTAAATCATTTCCAATTCCAGTGTTGCTAACTAAAAGTCAGTAAAAGTCAAACTTCTGGATCTGCAATGCACTCTGCCACTACTTGGTTTCCATATAGGAGGACGGATCAAAATATTATATGAAAATTCAATATCTGCGGCATAACTAGGCTACAATAGTCAACTTGGGCAATTGTGTACACAACAGTGGCAAGAGATGAATTTATTATAGACCCGAATGTTGACTCAAATTATTTTGAATTTTCTGTGTGAAAAGTCACTTACCTTGTTAGCTACATTTGAGCCCAAGTTATCTTTTATTGTATCCCTCCAATCCTGTATGTTTTTGTAGTGCATGTCATTGATGGTGACATAAGTGCAGAATTCCTCTTGATCTGGAAAGAGAAATGATTCAATTTTGCCTTGCATATTGCTGAAATTATTGCGCTGACCTACCCTTGCAATCTTCTTGTTGCACACTTGATTAATATTTAGCCATTTTCAAACCTAATGATATTTCATTTCACCTAATTGTTTTGCATACACAGCAAATTATCACATGATTAGATATGATGTTTTAGATATGCCCCTTTGCTGTGTTCTCACCTTTAATAGTAGTAGCCCCTATGCAATTTCATTTGTATATATACTAACTGGTTAACGTTATGCCTACTTGTGGAGGTTACAACATAAAAATTACCAAGTCATGTTGTACTTTTTTCATTCTCTGTATGTATAGTATGACACAGAACAACTTACGGTCAGCAATCTGACAGTGTTTCCCACTGTATCCACGTTCACACTGGCAAGCCGGTTGACCCTCTTCAGTCACAACACATTGGCCTGCACCTGGAGAGCAGTACAAGTCTTCATCGTCATCTCCACCGTAGCACTTTGAGCACTCGCAAGTTGGAGTGAAGCCACCATACAGACCCTCTTCAGCACACACAAAATTATCTTCAGGACAGTCACATGCACATGTGGTGCCATTCTCTCTAGCCGTTCCACCGTTCTGACACAAGTTTTGTTCCAGATTGGCTGTACACACAACAATTTCACTGTCACAATGTGTTCCTGTAAAGCCATTTGGGCAGATACAATCAAATCCCTCAAATATCTTGTTGACACATCTTGCGTTGTTCTGGCAAGGATTGGGTGCACAAAAGTCGGTTATTCTTTCACAGCGATCGCCTTCTGTTCCTGTCTTACAGCCACAAATGTAAGTGTCTCGTTGTGTCCCATTTCTAGCACAAATGCCGTCATTTTGGCACGGATCGCTGGAGCAAACATCAGGCTCTTCACAGTTGTCTGTGTCAATGTTGCCGGCACAATCACAGTCATAGCCATCAGTATCCATTATGTTACAAGTTCCATTGTTCAAGCATGGATTCTCAGTACATGGATTATATTTGTGGAGTTGGCAGTTTGTTCCCTCAAATCTTTGTGAGCAAGTGCAACTTCCATCTGAGCTGTCACAGGTTCCACCGTTTTCACATATGCTGTCAGCACATATTCTTTCACAGTTCCTGTCTGAATCAAACAGATTGCTTGTACAGGTACAACTGTAACCATCTGAGTATGACCTGCAGGTCCCGCCATTTTTACATGGGTTTGACTCACAGGAGTTTGCCACTTCTGAGCAGTCCTTTCCTCCCCAACCATCTATGCATGAACAACTGTAGTCATTGACCAAGGGCTTGCAAGGTGCACCATTTTGACAGGGTAGAGAGTCACACAAGTTGATCTGACGCTGACAGGTTTCACCTGTATACCCTGGGGCGCAGGTGCAGTTGTAATCACCGACGGTGTTGACACACTGCACATGGATGCCATAGCTGCTGCAGATGTCCTCTTCCTCACACTCATCAAAGTCTGTAGGAAACAACAACAAAATAGTATGAGGTCACTTTCTTTGTTGAATTCTTAAAACAAGTACTAGTTGTAAGTAACATCTATGCATAGCATTTCTGTTTGCCAAATTACATTTCATTTATTTCATTTCATTTATTTCGAAACCTTTTAGCCCTGCAGGGCTAGTCTTCCAAGGCTCAAATACATGGAATACAGGCACATCGTTACATAATTATATACATAGGAAATAGTGCATAAGATACAGTGCAAACGTTTAAAAGGACAAAAATACATCAAACATCAAACATTTAAAGGAACGCATAAATGAATATTAACAATTTAAAAACTAGAGGTCGGCTTCATGTGACACTGTTTACTATGGCTTTCTTAAACTTGAGAAGGTTACTCAGTGTCTTGACATGATAAGGTAGGTCGTTCCACAACGATATAGCACGATACAGGAATGAGCGCTTCTTACTGTTCGTCTTAGGTTTGGGTAATCTAAAGTTGTACTGTGCAGCAGATCTGGTATTGTGAATGTGAGATACATGAACAGGCACAAGGGAGTTGTATATATACTGTGGTTCATGACTAGTGACAATCTTAAAGAACATAACCAGTGTGCTAGAGGAGAATCTCTCACTCACAGTCAGCCAACCAAGATCAATATGCATCTGCCTGGTAGGTGTCTCAGGAGCACATTTCAATAATAATCTACAAGCCCTATTCTGAACTACTTGCAGTTTGCGCATGTTAGAGACTGACATGCTAGCTAAAACTGGTGCGCAATACTGTACCACTGACAAAACCAGTGCACAAACAACAACCTTACAAACTGCAAAAGGCATCGCCCACATGTGTCTTCTCAATAAGGCGATGTTTCTAGATTGTTTTGAGGCAATGTGAGTGACCTGTAAATTCCAGGTGAGCGACCGATCCATATGTAGCCCAAGCAAAACATTTTATATTATGTAGCTCAGATGTTATTGGCAAAATTATCATCAAGTAATTTCAGAGCCTGAATTTCAATATTAGCTGCATATTTTAATACTGGTACATGTGTAACTACATGTAGTTGCAACCAATTTTTTTTTTTAATGGAGTGGTTCAATGCAAGGCCTATACCACCACTTCTCGGCATTGAACTAGAAATATGAGTCAGAGAAACATGGCTATGTCGAGAGATGGCAGTAACTTGATATAATAAATAGTGAATACTAATGATATGCTTAATATAAGATATAATGTATCTTAAGTAACATTTATGTTTTTGCTGAACAGTCAGTCGAGGTCTTAGTTGGCCAACAGTTAAGTAACAGATTCCTTTCCCTCACCTTGGCATTGGGAGGGGGAGTTCTGTACAGCAGTTGTGCCTACTCTGCTGAGGAAGTCTGTCCACCCCCTCAGGGTACCCAAGTCGTTGGAGCATCCCTGTGCCAGGGTGTTGATGTCAGCTGCAGACAACACTGTGCTGTACACGTTCACACGACTCAGCTGACCAGTGAAAGCCATACGTTCATCTGGAGTGCTTACAGAAGGGTTGTTCTCTTGTCCTGAAAGTTTGGAGAAGAAGATTCAAATTACATGATAAGTGCAATGTTATAAAATCAATTGGTAAGCGATGAAATGTACATGATGGCATAACTATCTTTCATTAGATTAAAGTTCATGCACTAAGCTATTTTTGTACATGCACTGGCTAATTTGCCATTAATACCTATTCAGTAAAATCTGAATACATCCTTGCTATATTGACTAACTGTACAGTATTGTAAAATGTTTCGTTAAGGAATATCAACATCGCATACCAAGAACAAAAGTGCCTCCTCCTTGGATGACTTGTCCTGTTGCCAGATTTGTTCCACTGTTTTCCAGGGTGCCATTGAGAAACACCTGCCAGGAGCCATCACTGCTCTGCCAGGTCACACACACGTGGGTCCACTCTCCTACGTTTGCTGCTACCATTGTATAAGCGACCTCTCCATTCACATACAGCTGCATGAAAGAGGCAATGATGAATTATACTCCAATACATAAGCTTATCAAAATCTGCATTGTAGGGTTAGCAACAAGATGATTATAATGACTTGTCCTTCAGGGTTTTGTCTGATATGTCATCTATTGCTTAGATATTATAGGCAAACATTTTAATTCATGGATGCCCAAAACGAGAACAGATAGTGTTCATCTGATTCAAAGGTTTCTTGGACAGTGCAGTCTGATCTTGATATACTACAGTGCGCAGTCAACATTTACTCACATCAAAACTGCCATAGTCAGTCAAAGTGAGCAGATTGTCATGTGGAGTTTCCCATGTGTCCATCACGTATGAAACAGGAGTCCCAAACATCTGGTCGGAAGTCTTCATCCAGAAGGACATGGTGAGGGCTGACAGGTCAGGGATGTTCCCTGCTGCTGCATAGTTTGTACTTGATCCATCCATGACGAAGTCAAAATTAGGGGATGGGTCTAAAAGCAGAAATAAAAGACAGCTCATGCATATGTTCATAAATTACTTCCTCAAGCCTAAAGATGTGGACAATTCCACTAGTCACACTTGTTCATCCTCCTCCTACCAACTATCTCGTAATTCATAAGTCCATTCACAAAAAAATTTCTCAACACACCTATTAAGGGTAGATCACAAAAACTTACTTTGTTCGCAGTTTGTTCCAATGAAGCCCACAGCACACAGACATTTGTATCCGTTTTGTTCATCCTCACAGATGCCTCCATTGTCACATGGGTTACTTGCACACTCATCAATGTCAGTCTCACAGTTGACTCCTGTATTAAAGGAAATGAAACATAAGTCTGGGTAGAAAGTTGCATGTCTGTCTGAAAAATCTAAAGCTGAAACATCATGTAAACATTTAAAATTAAAGTTAAGTGTCTTTCTACCAATATTGTCAGCTCACCTTCAAAGCCAGGTGCACATGAGCAGGTGTAGGCATTGACAAGGTCTGTACAGTCCCCACCATTCTGACAGGGCTGGGACTGGCATTCATCGATATCAATGTCACAGTCTTTTCCTGAATAGTGGCAAGTACATGCATGAATAAACAATAATGTTGCATGTTAGTGCAGGACAGGGATGTTAGTGAATCAGTATGTGCCTGCTCAGTTTTGAATCTGTAAAATTTCTACAATGTCCCAAGGGTTTCCAAGAATTTCACCAAGTAGGAATGTGGGCATAGATGAGTGTCAGCAAAATTCCAGAGCTGAGACATTCCTGTGGACAAAAAGTCCAGTGGATAAAATTCCTGTAGAATTCACTATAGAATTTCCTAGAATTCTTGCAGACTGCACACAATACTGTACCATTAGGCTCCCCCCTGAGGCATTGCCAAAAATGTGTTTCACAGCAATGTCATGTACATGTAGGTTGCTACACCATGTTGGTTTATAATACTGATTGTTCCTTCCACAAAACAGAGACACATATACACATACCTGAGTACCCAGCTGCGCAGGTGCAGCTGTAGTCAGCCACCAGGTCATGACAGGTGCCGTGTTCACATGGAGAGGAGGCGCAGTCATCAGTGTTCACAGAGCAATCGGTGCCAGTGTAACCAGTCATGCAGTAGCAAGTGTATTCATTCACCTTGTCAAAAACAAGAATATATGAAAGTTGCACTCAGGAAGAACACTGAACAAGCCATATCAACAGTTGATCTTAACTACCATCCTCTCTGTATAAAGTTACAAGCTACCAGCAGCAGATGCATAATACATGTATGTTGTGATGCGGTAAAAACTTACCAGATCTGTACAGGACCCTCCATTCTCACAAGGACTTGGAGAGCAGTCATCAATGTCAATTTCACAGTTTGGACCTGGGCAAGATAGAAATTAATACATAGCTGCTGTAAAACTTTGAATCAAAGTAGATAATGGTGTACTTAAAATAATCCACAACTCATTTGCTATGAAGTCAAAGTTTTAAAGCCTTGTCTCAAAAACATGGTCAGATACAGTCAATCCTGTACAAGTGACCACCTAAAATAATGACCACCTGGCCAATGTAGTAGATAAACTACTAGATTACTAGTAGATAATTTGCCCATCGACCCAATGAATACTGTCTATAATGACCACCTGTCAACATAGACAAGATTTTATTGGACCCCTGAGTAGTCATCTTGGGCAGTTTGACAGTATATCCAATTTAATTTCCGTATTGATAAAATCTTAAGGCTTAAGTTCTTTAAAATTGTCAGTCTCTGCAATATGATATACAGTGGTAGCCTTTGGTTTTATTCCACAGTTGCGGTCCATTTGCTCACCTGTATATCCAGGTGCACAGTGACAGGTGAACATGTTGATACCGTCCTGGCAGGTGGAGCTGTGCAGACATGGGTTCTGAGCACAGTCATCAATGTCAGTCTCACAGTCTGTTCCTGCGAAACCAACTGTACAGACGCACTCATAACCAGTACCCCTGACTGGGTCCTCCTGGCACATACCATTGATGCAAGGGTCAGGCCTGCATGGGTCTTGGGTAAAAACATTATGGTACACCATCAATATTGTGACATAGTAATTTCAAAATTAATTTGGCAAAAACTGCAGCAGAATATTCTTCCTTTTAATCCTGCATATGTATGATTTGACAGTAATGTTACACAACTGGTATACATTTCTATGATACAATCACAGTTAATATTGTGCCATATGTTTATGAATATGTGCAAACATAACAATGTAAAGTCATTTTACCTTTCTCAACAATAGTGAAGTTATCAGGAGAGGCAGGAACAGTTCCCATCATGCCTGTACCCAGTTGGTCAAGTAATGCTTGCTCTAATGTTCCCAGATTTGGTCGAGCCTCATTGGGCGAAACAGCGTGGTCAGCAGTACATGTTGTCAATGTACTACTGCTGGACCTGCAAAATGTTTGAAGTGATCAAACACCATTCAGTAATCATACAAAAACTGTCTGTAGTGAATGTACTTCCTTTTCCAACACTCTAATGTAGAGCAGTCAAATCTTTAGAAATTGATACTATCACCAAGATATCACAGCTTCAAGTTGTCAGTTTTCTTAATGTTTTCTCCTGTTACTGGAGCTAGATCTGGCCTAACAGAATTATGCTATAATCCAAACCACACCCCCACTCCCCAACCCAGCCTTTGGAACTTTAGTTGCAATTTTCTGAAATGATCCTACATGGTTGTATAGGCATACAGGTATATTGATATTTACAAGATAGACTGAAGAATCATTGATTTTGCCATGAAGAAAAATGAAGATATTGATCAGTCCTACCTGGCAGATCTAGAAGTAACGTCTGTGTCAATCTCAGTGACAGTCATCTCACCAGGAAGGCCAGTGGCCTCAAACATCTCCTTAAACTAAGAAAAAAAATCTTATCACAAATGTTGAACTTGAAGGGGTGACTACATAAATGCACGACAACCCTAGAAATGGACTGTTTTTGCCATCAAATCATAAAACATGAGATAAGGTTTTATTGCAAAAATCTATTGGGTCCAATACACCACTAGCACTAACAGCAAGTGGACTTGTAACTACTTACATTCTCATTGTAGGTTTCAAGGTCCAGGTTGTACGTTATGACCAGTGTGATGGTTAAAATGTACAGTTGGTGAGCTGCAAACAAAATATATGTCTTGGGTTAGATCCTAGATTAAATAGATAGTCATCAATTATTGCTGGATAACCCAAGTCTAAAATGATCTACACACAAATAGTAATAGGAACAATAAAGTACATACCATTTCATCAATAAATTCAAATGATGGTCAATGATATATTTTTTCCTAGTCATTAGCACTGACCTCCTTTGTTATACTGATATCTTTTTTGTGAAAGCATTTTCAATTTTTTGAATGGATACCCTACCTTTACAGTCTGACTGGCTGGTTGCTCCAGATGCATCAGTTTCATACCCATCAGGACACGCCACACATTCCCTCTGCCCTGTGTCTGTTTGGTAGGTGTCTTCAGCACAGATGCTACAAGGCACCACTCCAGTAGGAGAGGAACTTCCAGCTGGGCACACCACTGTAAGACAAACCAATATACAGTATTATGCTGGGAATGGTGGGGAGTTTAACTCTCTATTACTTTTTGTTTCTGAATTTTGACTGCTGGTATATGGTGCATTTCTTAGATTTTATCACCATTGTGCCTCTGAATCATCATTTATTTTTATCATCCTTAGTTTTCATTAATTTGGTTTTGAAATCCTTGTCCTTTGCAACATTTTTGAGGCATTTCACCTGTCCTTGGTGCTGAAAATGTGATTTTTGCATTAGGTTTCCACTTGGGTATATCAGATGACAAGCAGTTATGTTAGTAGTTGCGACTGTAATACCATGAAGAAAAAATATGTCATAGACTAATATGACCTACTACTAGTACTCATATAACCTTGATCCATTTAATAATTTACATATGTGTTATTACACCAATAAATAATAAAACCATAACAGCTGTGAAAAATGTAAGAAACATGAAATGTGTACCTTTGCAGTCATCTTCACTGGTGGATCCCACAGCTTCAGTTGATGTGCCATTAGAACACTGCTCACATGATGTGGATCTCTCATTTGGTTGGTATGAACCAACTTCACATGGTGTGCAGTCTTCCAATCCCGTGCTGGAGTAGTTGCCAGGAGAGCACAACTCTGTTGACAAAGTTTGAAATTTTCTCATTATTATCAACATTGTGAAAGACATTCCTTCAAGAATACATACAACTGAAACATTTCAACAACATTTCCAACCGCATACTTTTACTTTGAGTGTCATGTAACTTTTCTTTTGGGCTATAAACTATTGCAGCATGTTGTATTTCACATGTTTTATGACCTGGTCCAGTAACACTAAACATGGCACAGCAATGAGACTCACTTCTGCATTCTGTGATGTTGATAGCTCCCATCCTTGTGGTGTTAGTCCCCTCAGGACATGGCAGACACTGCTGCTGTGCCTCCTGGTGCTGGTACTGTCCATGGGGGCACTGCTCACAGCTGTCTCCTGACTTGTAAGTTCCCACAGCACAGTTCACTACAGGAAATAATAAAGAAGGGAAGTGTTCCATCAAGTCTCTCAGTACCATACTCTCTGAACACCCTTCAATCCATATAATTTGTACAATTTTCTTAACTCTTCAAAACTCTAAAGGAATGCCCCTATAAGTACACTGTAGCCATGTGTCTGATAGATACTGGCAATATTACAAGTTCATAGGCTGAAAACTAAATCCATGTAACATTAGATTGTACCATGGAGTTCTACCTCCATGATTGTACTTACCACAATATGCTTCATACTGGCTTGGCTGTCTGGAAACTTGACCATTCTCACAAGTGGTGTCCAGTTCGGGATCTTCTGCGACATAGGAGGAAGTCTGGACATCACAGGTTATTGTGACTCCTGCTATTACGATGGTGATGTCAAAAGAGCCATCAGCGACAATGTCATCTAAACCATAGTAAATTTCATCCTGGATGTCAAAAAGGTCACTCTGGTCGCTTGATGACACACTTCCACCTGTAGACACCTCCACTCTTATGATAAACACAATGGTCACAACAAAGTTTGTTGCTCGTTTCTTTCGTCCGGATTCAATGTCGTTAAGATCTGCTTCCTCTTGCAATGATGACTTTCTGCTGTGTGCACTTCGTTTTAGCTGACGGCGTTCACTCGTGGGGCTGTTCTGTGCTACATCGCGTCTGCGCCGAGCTGTTTCACAGGTGACGTTGATGTTAGGTAGACTGCAGTTATGGTTTGCACACTGAGTTTGTACAAAGTCCAGCTCAAAGAACGATTTATTGAAGCTGCTGCTGATTTCTTCTTGAACTGTTTCATCACAGGTGTCAGCTGATAGATCATACTGGATTGTGTTTGTTTGAGTTGTGATGCCTTTACGTTCCTCACCTGGGTAAAAAGATGAGAAGAATTAAGACCAGAATCAAAAATCAGTCGTATTATTTTCCAGTTAGATGTTATATCATGAGAAATGTACATGACAAGCTATGCAAAACTAAAGTAATACATGCATTTACCTTAATGCTGGAGCCTATTAAACACACAAAGATACACCCACAAAGATATCTACTACCGAGTAGTATTACATAACTACAGAGTAGATACCTGCACAATTTTGCCAGTTGGGTTCAGGTGTCCAGACACCTGAGTAGCTACAAAGATATTGTGATTCAGGGCTTGCAAAGGCGTAGCCAGCATCACATGACAGAGTGCAGCGCTCCTGGTGGGTGGAAGTGGCAGTGCAGGAGGACGACCCATGAAGGGGATCAGCTGGGATGTTGCAATCTGGAGCTGAAATTTTAGAAAATTCAAACCAACATTGTAAGCCATGTGTTTTATTCATCCTACTTGCACAGAACAGTCTCAGCTATGAATTGAATTTGAATTCATTGCCAATACTTGTAGTTGCAGCATAGTATCATCTAGTATTATCTTGCCAATTTCCATTTGCGAGGGTCTAGTCATAAAAATTTTTCAACCCTAGCCAAGTTTTTATCCCTCAATCTCAATGAATAGTACCCCCAAATAACCCAAAGCACAGCCTTTACATTCTTTGTTTTTTCATTATAATGTATACTTCTTACTTCTCCACTCTTCAAATGTCAATTTTAGGGATAACTAACTCACTCACCCCTAAGAACATACAACTCGCTCACCTCTAAGAACATACATGTACCATAATAGCCCATTTCAAATTGTCATTACATTGTTGTAATGGTCTTGATTTTATGAGCACATGCCATACCTTTGAGAATAACTTGAAAAGAGCACAGGTTGACTGCTCGGTAGCCCTGGGCATTACAGTGGATGTTGTGGGTGCCAAGTGAGGCAGACTCCCCCTTGTTTCGATCACACTCTGTGGTGACCGTGTTGTTATCAGCATCAAGATAGACAGGGTCAGACCAGTCCAGGGTGCCTGTGGTGGTGGTGACTGTGATGGTTGTGGTATTCGGGCAAAACTGTAGGGATGGTGGCTGGGATGCTAGCAGAGGAAATTACAAACAATTCAATTCAGCTTCGGTCAAAGAACACTGGTATTGGTAATGCATCATGAAATCCCTTGTTTTGGGGCTTAATAACAACTTCTAAACTATATATAGAGAAACTCAGTGTATTGAGTAGCTCAATGGAAGTAATATTTTCTAACATTAACTGATGCTGTATTTCCGCAATTTCTATATGTATATCTTTGAATTTCTGTCATGTAGCCCATCAAGGCATAATCGATACATTGTGTAGTTTACCTTCCACTATGAGCCGTCTCTCACAGGATGCCTCATTTCCAGCTGCATCTGTCACTTTGTAGGTTAGGGTGTGGATACCAACCAGGAAATCATATGGGTTGCTGTATGCTGGCACTACGGTATAACTGTTGTAGAAGCCTGAGTTGTCACTTATCACAGGTTCATCGCTGTTCCAGTGGAACGTCTTCTTGTTTCCATCGTCTGAATAAAGGGTTCTTCCACTGGGGCAGACTATGCTTGGCGGCTGAGTATCTGTAAATGGGAGGAAATCAAATCTTCAAGTAAAACAGATTCTGACTGATGCCACCTTAACTTACAATGTTTTGCAATATTCATTGTACATGTAACGTTATTCATTTTACTGCAGTGACAAAAGATAATTCTGTATCAATTTTCTTTCATTTGATGAAGTTTATTAAATATGATAACTTGTTATTCACCATTGCACAAGTTTATCAAATATGATAACTTGTTATTCAACATTCAAGATACTAACGGTAAATAACAAGAGGTACAGTGTATACTAAACATTACACCAAACATTTAAAATCATTTACATTTAAAGCCTTTTGGAATCTTCTAGATGAGCTATTTTGATTGTATACTGGTACTAAGGTCGAGCTATCTGTCAAATTCAAGCACAATTTCTGGCCACAAAACATTAGAGAAACAATAACTTGCTCTTGATGACTGACCGTTACAGGTGATAGCCACACCGGAGTCGGTCCACTGGTCATTACTCTGGCATGTCCGGTTTGCTGGACCCACCAGCAGGAAACCATCACCACAGCTGTAGGTGCACACTGTCTGGTACTCAGGCTTCTCACTGGAGCAGGTAGCTGGGTAGATCTGACCGTAGGCTGGAGGAACCAGGGATGGGCACTCGGTGGCTGTATAAGGATGTTAAGGTCAAGTTTAAATACTGTAATACACTGTACATTCACAGTAGCAAAATTTCACGGTCTGAGAAAAAAAGGCATGTTCACGATGGCGGATAGCCGCAGGTACAGGAAAAAGAAAGTTGAGGAGTTATTTGTGAATGGTTCACGGTATATTAGTGACTGAAAACCGTGAACATAAAAGTACCATAAAAAATCATGAATTACAGTAATCTGCATTGATTATCGATAAAGATAACCCCAATATTTTTGACTGAGGAAAGTCAACCACAACTAAACCAAAAATAACACGGCATCGTCCTTTTATTTTTTTGCCGTTAGACAGTTTCACTTGACAACTATAACTGCACCATAACTTCAGCACCAAGGAGAGTACCATTCTGACCAGAAGAATTGCTTACGTTGACATTGAGTTACTGTCCCGTTCCAGGTTCCATCTGCTGTACAGGTCCTCTCCATGGAACCGTATGTCCTGTACCCTTCATCACAGGTGATGGTGGCCACTGTTCCATAGGTGTAATCACCGTATATGGATGGTGCATATGCAACAGTCATTCCAGCTGTCTCTGTGATGCTTTCACATTCCACCACTGTTGTACAAGAAATGAAGAAAAATATCAGGTTTTCAGAGTCATTTCATTTGAATATCCTAACTACACTTTGTCCCATCAATGGAGTCAATGATTTCCTTTGATTACAGCAAAGGCACTTCTTAAATTTTTGTTTGTTTGTTTCGCATAACCGCCGGTAAACCGCCTTTATAGGCGTAACACACCAGTTTTGTACATGTAAGTACAAGTTACGTAAGACTGGATTGTACGGTTTGAACCACCCACACCAGGAAGGACCCCTACTCTTTTTTATAAGTGCTGTGGGCTCTTTAACGTGTGTGGGGTGTCTCCCAAACACGGGATTTAATGTTTAAAAAATCCTGAAAGACATTTCACCAGCATTAATATAGTAAAGTTAAAAGAAAAGGTATTTCTGACCTTCACAGGTGGGTGTGCCGTGGTCCCAGCTGTCTCCGTCACAGTACAGCCGGGTGGGATCTGAGGTGAAGAAGCCCTCATCACACTGGAAGTAGCAGAAGTCTCCAGGTGTGTTCTTACAGGTGGTGAAGGTGTTCACCTGCGCCTCATTAGCAGGGCTGTAGATGTGAAAGCTGGTGGCATGTGGCACCGGAGGCAGAACTGGACACAAGACCTCTGTGAAAATAAAAAAATAGTCTCAAAGAGTGAGCATAACATTACACACATTGTGTATACTCACTAATTCATTGCATGTGTGTGTGGAGTGTACATGCACATCTAGCTAGCTATGTACTAACTGTTACATCTATTCATTGTGATATGGAAGTGGGCAGGTAGCTATTGAATTTATATCTCCATATCTATCTACTAGTATCTTCTGGTCTGTCTATTAATCTGTAAAATGTGCATCAATCAATTAACAGATAGGGAACACATGTCATGACACATAACGTTAGATGAGATTTGAACTTTGGAGATATTTTAGACAGTAGACAGTTCTGAATGTTGCTTTTAGGTTAATCAGGCATGACTGACATAAGCCAAGAGACAAGTTCCTGTCTGTTGGTCAAGGATCTGTCTCCAGGCAGTTGTAGACATTATTGCCATGACAACAACACATACAACAACAAACACTTGGGACGTGAGCAAGGCCTTGATGAAAAGTGATAAGAATTAGCTCAGATCACTAATCTCCAAGCAGATCCCTCTCGGTGGCAAAAAGACAGTATCAAATTGACCAGGCAGTATTCATTAGCCAGAGAAGCTCTGCGGCCACCGACGTTGGTGGGGGTCAGGACAAAAAAAACGGCCAGATATAAAAATGTAACGATCATTCCCCCACAACCTCTGCTTGGAGAGTAACAGATCACAGCAAAGGTGGAGAGGGAACCCAGGTAGATGCATTGAAGTGTGGAAACCATCTGTTATTTAAAACCTGTAACGTTATATGAAGATCATACATGTACTACATCCCATAGTTACCATCAAAATAGATGTACTATATGTGCAAATAAATAAAATCTTAAATAAATGAAGATAAACTGCTTGTACAGCATATTTTAACTGCTAGATTACATGATCTGTGATTCATAAATTACATGAATCCAAATTTCCAAAGCAGTAGAAAATCTAATTTATTTTGGCCTTGTTTAACACTTGATCTGAAGGGTATAAAGGAAAACAAAAACATGCAGAAAAAATATTTCTATCTTTCTACAGGTATGATTTTTCTTGTGAAATAGAGGAACTGAGTCTAGTTTCCATTGTCTTCCTTCTATCATACATATATACGAAGCAGAATCTCTGCTTTCCAATTTACCAGGAAAAAGGTCATGCTCTACTGCAGAATGATAAAAGAAAGCACCACTATTCTATAAAGGAAGAGGAACTATTCAGTTAGTTCCTGATAATTGATATCGGAATCACACATTACAAGAAGGAAGAGACAACACTGGTCATCCATACACCAATGGTGCATAAACAAAAATACGTGCAGTTTCACAGTTACTAATGTTGTAAATAGGTGAAAACAATGACATGGATATGCCTCCTGGTAATGTCAACTCTCTTATATCAACAGTGACATCAATACCATGGTGTAACCTTACTTCATGGTCAACAACAAGAGTGAAACTGTACCTGCTCATGCGATGAATGGCGTATTGTCACCCAAAATAGTGTGCGACAAGGAAGGGATGGGAAGGGGATTTTTCTTAACAAGGCTTAGACATTTCCTTGTCTGCAACCTCTTAGCAACCATTTAACATGATGAGTCAATTCTAACCATTAACCATGTATTATACAACCACATATAGATTCATATAGCCTGCTCCATACTTTTTTTACTCACATTTCAGACAATCTGCCTGATACACTAAGTATTACGTATTCTAGTTTTGACAAATGACAAAATAACAAGATGTTGAAATGGGCCGTGCTGCATGGCAAGGTATCAAAGTGGGAACACAAGGCCAAGAGAGTCAGTACCAGGCCTGAGTACTTTGTCAAGTAGTACTTACTTCCAAGGAGCCAGAGCAAACAATCAAGAAATAACAGGGTTGTTCAACTCCTAAGCAAGTACAATTCTTACATTGCAGCAGCATAAATTTCTAGCCACAAATAAACAATGCTCAACCTCCTTGAGCACTGAATTGGTCATGCTAGATGTTAAATCAAGTATATGTAGGTTAAAGGCAATTGTTGAAGCAACGTAGACACTCCAACATCCAAGTGATTGGCATTTGGAAGGGAAAGAGCACATAAGTGACAGGATATGGTGCACATAAGATGTACTTCAAGTAATTTCAAGTATTAAAGACCTCACCTGTACAACTTTCAACAGACGTAGTTCCTCTTGGAGAAGATGTTGTTCCTGGACAAGCTGTACAGGTGCCAGGGCCAACACTGTCCTTGTATGTGTCCACTGGGCAGGCTGGCAAAAACAAAATCTTTCAGTTAGATTCTCACATGTAATAGGTATCACTGTATGTTTGAATATGGGTTAAAAGAATAATTCTGTAATGAAATACAGTTACCCAATAGTGTACGGTTATGTCTGATATGGCATGTTACTGTGATGTTTCTTGGTTTTTTTAACTCAGGAGACATTAACACATAACATTAACACATGGGAGACACTTGCAACACACTTGCAACAAACAGAACGCTTTGGAGACAAGAAGGGCTTACATCCGGGGGGAAAAAAGCATAGATTTGCTCTAGAAGTAGCTCTAAGCGTAAAAGCAATGGTGTAGAAGATGTACTTTCATGGTCTCACAAGACCAAGAAATGCCTACTCAACTTAGGAGTCAAAATCTTGCCCTACCTTGGCAGGTTATTCCATCTCCATGGTAACCAGGGTCACAGACACAGTGGTACTGTCCGAGGCCGGTGTCGCAGGCGCATGATGCGGAGGTGTCACACTGTCCGCAGTACTGCCTGCCTGTCACCTCCCAGGACGAGTTCTCTGGAACTAAACCAACGGAACAGTTAGTTTTTACCAGGAATGGTACAACCATTTCACAGGATATTTAGTTTCAAGTCAATACTTGTGCTCTGTAATTATATTTGAAGAAATATTATTATATTTGATGGGTCAAAAATACCCTTTGCTAATTACATGTCAGGAATGCAATAGGCTATTTATGGGTTCACCACACCACGAAGTGGTGGTGAACCCATATTGCTTTTTCTGATGTTTCTTCTTCTCCTTCTCCTGCCATTTTTTTAAATGGATTCAGCTTCTTCATTTTAGGGCCCAAGGTCCTGAAATTTGGTATGGAGGTACAGTGGGCAAATACCCCTAGGCGTTTTTTAAATTATTGTGATACAGGCTTTTAGAATGGTTTTATTTGAGTTTTTTGGCTGTGTTATAGCAAATGTATTACTGTGTTAGTGTGCCTTGTTTACCACGTTTGGGCATGAGTCATCACAATGGAATGCAGGGCATCAACCAATAGGCATGCAGCTTTCCTCTATTCTTCTTGCTGATTGGCTGTTGGGATTTAACTTGATCAACACCTGCACAGAGCATTTCCACCTGCACAGAGCATTTCTTGCTGATTGGTTGTTGGGATTTAACTTGATTAACACCTGCACAGAGCATTTCCATACTGACAGTATGTCTGTATTCAAGTGTTTTGGTAGGTATTTCAAGCTTTCCTGCTCCAGCATTGGAATGCGGGGCATGGACGTTTTTTTTTTATTTTGAAAATCAACAGTTTGCATTATGCAATTAAAAATCCTAACCAATAAAGTAGGGAATAGCTATCCAACTGTTGTTTTAGTTGTATTTTACTTCATATTATAGTTATATCAATGTAAATCATTGTTTTCCCTTGTGTTTCTCATTCTTTCCCTGCCATGTCGTAAAATGTGGTGAACCCATCGCTGTATTTGCTCCAAAGCAAATATTGGCCTTTCTAGTTTGCTATGATATTTGCTCATGCACATGAAATATTTAGTACCAGTGTCTATTACCACTATCATGGTATAGGGAAATTAATGTTTTAAAGAAGAATTAGGATACTGAAAAGTAGTAGGCTAGACATGAAGGTCTCTATCAGGCTTTGACCATATCATGGGTAACTTGCTCCACCGAATATACCACAAACATTATTATTTTTGTACTGTTTCCTGGATTTGGCATGATATAAGGATAAAACACACCTTTGTGAATGAGTTTTGACACCTGTCGTCAGGGTCGAGAAGTTGTCAATGTTGAAGACATTTGTGGGGCTGGAGCTAGCCACGGACTCCAGCTCGGCCTCGTCTGCACCATTCACGCCCACCGTGAAAACCTCCAGCTGCGGTCCCTGGCTGTCCACGTCCCACCCCGCCCATCTCAGCGACCTGATCTCCGCCGAACCCACCGCAGGAGGAACGCCAATGGTGGAGTAGGAGTCGGTGATGAGGATGACAGCTTTCTTGGCATCTGAGCGGGACTCCATGAGGACCTCTTTTGCTCGTCTAAGAGCATCTGTTGTCGCCGTCAGACCTCGGTGTAGAGGCACCTCTTCCCTGACCTCATCCAGCGTACTGAAGACGGTACATTTGGTCTCGTCCCTGCTGCCCAAATCATTGATTCTTACCGACGCTTCTGTGTTGAAGGTGATGAGAGAAACTCTGGTGTGAGCGGAGTCCACGGTGAAGCCTGACAGGATTTCCTTGACGAAGTTGACCATGAAGAGGAAACCTCTGCTGACCTTGTCCTGGGAAAACGCCGAGTGGTCCACCACGAACACCAAGTCCACCTTCTCTCCGGGTGTGGACAGGTATGGTGTTAGGAGGTTGGTGTTTAGGTCGTCGGCCACATCGGTCGCCGTCTGGGCAACTACAGCGTTACGATGGAAAACGTTTAGGAAAAAAACACATGCAAACAGCATGCGTTTTAGAGCTAAGTAGGCAGCCATTACCTCTCAACTATCTTTAGCAGCAAAATAGGGTAAAGCCACTGCCTAAGAGTAACGTTAAACTCCACTTCGATCAGAAGCGAGGAACTTGTGCGACAACATCCAAGCACGTCTCCCAAGTGCGCGCGACACAAACACACCTGGGACCGCAACATTTACTTACTTCCTCAAAAGTATCATGTTTCGTTCTCCTTTGTCTGTGCCCCCATGGTCCGTACCTTGTGGCAGGTACAATGTTTATCTACAGAAATGCGATGCAGTACCTGCAACAATGTACTTCGCCACAATTGGCTTTGAAGACACCACGTGATGTTTTCCTATTGTCACTCCGGCTATTTCAGAGGACTGACGTCTTTTTTCGGGGAAGTGGAGGTGGATACCGTCTTGTTTGACATTGAAACGTCCTCGAGCAAGCTTTTGAATTAATCTTTTTTTCCTCCAAAATGCATCTTTCTTTTCTCTGATGAACAGTAGTAACGGCTTCCAAAGGTTTTCGTCGTTGCATTACATCGTGACATTAGTCAAACATCTTAGATTCACTGTGTCAATAGCCCGACGTTTGAATAACAGTTTTCTGCACAGTACGTAGGCTAAGATGATTTTGGTTACAGGGCACAATATCGATAAAACTGCCCAAGGAACATAAGCAGAGTGAAGTCATTACAAGTCGCTTAAGAAATAGCCTGTGACACTAAAAGGTAAAGATTCATGACATACAAAGACAGAAGAATGTCTTGCAGTGACCACATGTTTACGCGGGCACTATTATATAAAGCGATAAAAGTTATCTCTAGGGATATCGCATGATGCATTTTGAATATGGACGCCACTGACGGTTTAACTGACAGTGTTAGTTATGTTAAGTTATTATACGTACATCTGCTGGTAGTCACTTTAACCGTAGTATGGGAAAATGTGTTAAGTCGTTTCGAGTCGTGACTTGCATTGGGATTCATTACGGTTTGCAATGACTCCTAGCGGTTACTGTGTACTTTGCAGTCGACCGTCACGGCTCTAGCTAACTGTCCCGTCATGCGTCGGAACGCGTGATGTACCTTGATTTACGTAAACTTGAACCATTTGTCAACTTGATATGCGATGTAGACCACCAACCTTACGCTTCGTTATTCTCTTGTAGTCTATATTGGCGTTTCACATCCAAATGAAAACTACAGTGCTCAACAAATAAAAAGTTTACGATGTTGACCTTTCCGATAACACGACAAAACGGGAAGTCTCATGCTTTACCAACGTCTGATTTAGATTAAGAACTACTGCCCCTGGGTATATCCTCGGTGTTGCCATTAAACCCCGAACGTGACAAAAACGGTTCGTTTATCATTCAACTGTCATGTAGTACGAGATCACACTTCCGAGTAGATCCCCATTCAGTCTATCCTTTCGTGTCTTTCATAACGTCCAAAAGAACTTATGATAGTGGGATGCGTGCAAATTTTTATCATATGTTCAAGGTCCGTGCATTAGTGACATGTTTGCAATTCTCAATCAGCAATTTTAGTCCAGATCCTGTTCACTTGATCGTGTGGCAAATCATTATTATAGCTAGAGAGAAAATCTCTCCCGCCACAAGGGAGCCGTATGCATGAACGTGCTTCTCCTGTTATGGTCTAGTCCACTGCGGAGGCGTACTTTACATTCCTCCCCGATTGCACGGCCATGTAAAGTATCCCACCTTCCCCTGGATGTGACGTCAAGTCGACATCCCACTTTTCACCACTCTACCGGGGCAGTCCACCTGTCTGGACCGTAAATGGTACTCCCACGCGCACTTAGCCTCCTTCGCAGACTTCTGAGGTGGCGGCGTTAATTTTTTTTCGGGGAGCGACGCGAGATATATATAACATGTTTGTCAGCTTGTCTGTAGATGTATTGTAATGTTTATGTCTATTTGTATTTGCTATGTACAAAATTGTAAAAAATCAGTGTAGTTCAGCTTGGTTGACTTGTGAAACTGGCTGCAAGGCTGATTTTATTAATAAAAACTTGAAAATTGAAAAAACTTGATATGCCGCGGCCGGAGGGACGCTTTTGCCGCAGAGGGACTAGCGAAACCGTCTCTCCCGGCAAAGTCCCTCGGCGGCAAAAGCGTCCCTCCGCGGCATAAATCGCGTCGCTCTCCGAAAAAATTAACGCCACCGCCTCAGAGAAGTCTGCGAAGGAGGTTATTTACGCGCCCATTACACAAGTTCTGTTAGGAGCCTGTACAAAAGATAACCCTTAAACCCAAAGGCAAGGGTTTTGCTGAGTGATCGTCCCTAGACTTGACGCCTGTTTTCGATATTACCTCATTCTCGAGAACTAGAAGGCCCGAAAAATAACAGAAAGTGTACGTTTCCGCCCTAGTACTAGCCTTTTCCATCGGCACGCGCGCCTTGATGTTTCTCCAAGTTTATACACGTGCCAAATATGAGTATGTGGCTATACTATTTCTAGGGAAAGGCCTCGATCTTCTCTTTGCATTTACCCGTAGAAATCTCCACATCTCAATAACCTAGATGAAAGTACACCTAACAGGCCGACCGGAAGCATTAGGGCAAGAGTTGATTGTAACTCAATCCAATGTCAACTTTTGCGGACTTAAGTGTGGTCAGTGAGATTAGATGTAGATTTCTACAGAAGATATTTCTGCAGTTTTGAACAGAAAAGCGGAAAACCTCTGTCAGATACATGTACAAAGTTACTATGTATCTTCGAATTCTTGACATGGCGTTACATGGTTATAAAACACGCAGTGAAATCTGAGTCAGTCGATCCAATCGCCTGCAGAAGAAATTCGAAGAATGAAAATGAGGTCACGATGCTTATAAAATGTCGCATTGGCCGGATGCAACTTGACATTCATTCCGAGTGACTGTTTTTAGTTTTCACCCACGGGTTTTCTAAATTCTTTACCACGAAGTCCAAACGGAGAAGTCACCCCGCACGTTTCTCACGCCTTCACATTTCACACATACGTGACGACTTTGCCACAACCTCACTATTACAAGTTCACTTTCCCCGGGGCGGACCTCTTTAGTCACGCTTCGTGACTCCAAATGCAGATGTGCAGCAGGGCAAACAAAACTCTCCGAGCAGAGGTTTGGGTTTTGGGTTATTTTTGGCGTGTTTCTAGGCTTTTCTTTAAAATAATATCGGGATTTCTTTTTGCACTGGAATTTTTTTCACCTTAATTCCAGTGCAAAAAAGAAACCCCGATAAAAAAGCCTAAAAACACGCCAAAAATAAAACACAATCCTCTGCTTGAGCAAGTAAATGCACTGTCAAAACACAACGAGAATATATCTTAAAGGTATCCAATGCGATTTCAGGGCAGCAAAATTTGAAATATTCTGCAAAAGGCAATCTTTGTGATATTGACACATACTGATTCACATTTAACACATTTGAGTCAGTATGTCTGTACTATTTCATACTTTGGGCTTTTAAAACTGCAGAAACAAGCCCCAAGATGAGTCCTTTATTTTCTGGGTGGTACCTCAAAAATCAGCCAAGGACCCTTCCGGTAACTATTTTTCCATCAGAAATTTGGGGGGTTTTGCTCCATGAGGGTCAGTATACATTGGGAAAGTGTGGTTTCAACTCAGTATGTAGACAAATGGCTAGAATATTGGCTTTGAAAAATCGGGTTTCCAAGCCCTAAAAACTGCACTGGATGCCTTTAACTTTTCGGTATGATTTCTTAATCATTAGCATCGTCTAAAAAAAAAGGCTACTATAGCATGTCATATCATACACATCTCCTATCTCATTCTTATATGTCCTGTCATATGTTTTTCAATCAGAGGCGTGCATGGTCTTCGATAAGAGCTCTTTATTTTCGGCCAATTTACTCCGGAAGTGACTAACGCTACATTTTTTTTCTTCTTCAAGCAAGACGATTTTAGCGGAGATCAAAAACATCATGGTAACAAGAGTTGAGTTTGCGTCTCGCCTGGAGGGCCAGTGATAGTTAGGCTTCAGCGCACCTATTCATTCATCCGCCTTGCTAGATTGGCCAGCACGCACCGCACATTCCCTGCACACCTGAAGTACCATGACGTCAGAACCAAAGCAGACGGGATGAGTCTGAACAACAGAAAAACAAAGTGCCTTCCATATATGGCAGTTTGCTAATGTCGGGGCCTTTTGCCTCAGGCAATGATTTTTCAACGCATGAGCTATTTTAGGGAAAAGCAACAATTATAGAACCAGTCAGATTTTTCGCTTTCGCGTGTGTGCATGTAGTTGTTTTTGTTGTATGTGTCAAACCACTTCTGTTGTGATTCTTAATTTGAGTAAGAGGCTTTTTGTCGGCTCTTCAAAAAGTTGTGTTTCTGGTTGGACCAGACCAGACCACCCCGTGTCGCAGTTGGGTGTCAAGCGCGCAGGTTGATACACATGATAGGCAGCAAGATGGCGGCAGGGAGGGGGTTAGGAGCGAGACCCGGACGTTTCTTCGCTATCACCGCTCTCCTACTGACGGTTGGATGCTCCATCGTTGCCGCAGGAAGTTGTAAGTTTATCTTCTTCATGTGGATCGTTTGAAAAATAAAGTATGTCGATGGGTTCTGCTGTTTCGCACTGGTGATAGAACTGCGTGTGTTTACCGATACTTATTTCCTCATGGTCAACTCTGCCGTCCGGAGCGGTTGTTTCAGTAAACAAACTGAGGAGACAATTAGTTTTACCCCACGCTTCTATCGGGAATAGCTTCTGTAGATTGTGCAGGGTATTTCTGTCTGTAGTTATGATTTTGTTTGATGTCTCCGGACGAGATTTATCCCGTACATGACCCGGGCTTGGCGACTGTCTCGACCGTCCCGTTTGGGAATGTGGCAGGCGTGCCTCTCGGCGTCCTTCCGTCTTCCCTTCGCACCAGCTATGTTTGATATCTGGCGCCACTAAAAATATGATGCAATAATATTGCAACCAAAATATCGACACGCACGTTTTTATTTCTTATCTATCTCCAGAAACAGTAATTTTTCTAGAAGTAATCTCGTGTGTATGTGACCACAGAAGGCGATTTGTGCGTACTTGTTACACCATGGGACGGCAGACCGCCGACGGCGAAGACGGCCGTTTTAGCAGAACATGACTCAACTTGTTTTAACCGAAAATCCTTTATCTCTTTTACCCTCTAACATTTTATAACATCTGTCATCCTAAAAGTGCCACCAACGTTGACTTCCGACAATAATGGCATTTAACGATAGCAAAGATTCAAACTGTATCAGATAAAGTCGTGGGCATGTTTTCACAGGCTGACTGGGAGGCCTTCATGGCAGATTTGTAGGATTTATTTCCTGTCAGTTGAAACAACTATCCTTTAGATTAGCTTACTGCGAACTGGATACAACAATAATATCATTTGTAAAACATGCGTTCTACTTGTGTCGTTTTATAGTGCTGCTTTTGTGGTGAATGGTCTCTAAGGTTTTGACAATAGTGAAGGGTGTGCAGTGTTTGAAAGCAGTCTGGGGGCATGTTATGGCTGTGGTCCTTTCCCATGAGTGGGCATGTTCTCTATCTGGGTCATATTACTCCAATTAGTTATGGTAAATGCAAGAGATCTCCATCTGAGATAACATGAGAAATGAATTGGTATCAAATATGAACACACAACACTTTGTTTAGAAGCTAGACAGTTAGCAAATGGGTATGTATTGGAAGAGGAACATGTCATATCACCTGACAGAGAAAACATACACCTTCTGATCAAAGAAGAGCCCACTTGGATGACAGCTTTAAATCTTATTAACTAGAGAATAAAGTAAACAAATTGTGTTTGTTGTTTCAAGTGGGCGGAAACCTTTGGGTGGCCACTACTGCCGCTAATAGCATGGGCATGTGTACCCCCAGACATCAGGGGGTTGGGTTTTGTCTTCCTCCTGTGTTGGCCATGGGAAAATCACCTTGATGTAAACTTGCTGCACATTGTTTTTCACCACAGGAAGCTGCATAGCAGAGAGCCTCCACATGAGGCAAGCAGCAGGAGTTCTGTTGACGATGATGAATTGTCTTGAGGGCTGTTCCAAGTTCAGGGGGATGCCAGGAAGATCAAACACTAAAAGATGTCTATCTCTCTTTCAGAATTAACAACAATTTGTATGCCCCCAAAGTCTCACTCGTACATGTAGAGCCTGCAATGGAGGCTACAAATATACAGGTTTTGGGAATACACCTCGTAAACTGGCCCTATGCAAATGCAAATTTTTGTCAGGTCCAGAGATTTCAGTGAAAAGTCAGACAGACGGAACAATCGTGACTGAATGAGAGAAAAGAAATGGTGCAACAAACCCTATACTGTAAATACAATGTAGACAAGACCAATAAAAGATACGAGTGGAAGTTGCGATAATGAATTAGTGATAATTGCTCCTGTCAAAGTTGTTCTTATTTTATGGTATACATAGACTGGTACAAACAAGTATGAGTACGACTTTGTTTTCTAACCTGTCAGTTTATTTTTCAGAGAGAAGAAGTGCTAGCAACTAGTTCATGTTTGTTTTGAACACAGCTATATAAAGTTTATGGCTCTCCACGTACAGGTTTCAGATTACATGAAGTTGTTTTTCTTTCCAAACAGCTGATGCACCATATCTGCTGGTGGCCAATGCCTCTACTGTGAGCAAAGTCAGCCTGGAAAATGGATACGTGCTAGACGTGCTACTCTCCGGGGTAAGCATAAATAACTTCCTCTTTGCAGACACAGGTAGATTGTATCATCCACACAGGTGGGCTAACTGATGAGCTCTGCAGGAAGCCCTTTTGTTCGTAGGTCGTCTGTTTGCATTTACCTGACAACCTGCCAGGCATTTCCTCTTTTTCCAGCCTTCATTTGTTCTCTGTCACAGACTGAAAACTACTAGTATTGCCTGTTTACCATAGCTAGGGATGTTGGGACTCCTGTGTCTCGACTACCTGGTCTTTCATCTTTTCATGCACCTTTAAAACACTGAGTGTGATCATGAGTGGAGATAGAGTGTCTAGGTAACCAAGAAATGAATACATGAAACCATTCTGTTATTTGCATGATCTTGTGCTACAAATGATAAGCACAGTTTGACAATAAAAATCAGCATGTATGTACACCTAGATTGTGAAAATTAATCAACAGTAAAAAAAACTTTACTAGATACAGCTTATAAATGAATAAACTGTAAGAAATGAGTTAAGAAACTGGAAAAAAACAGTGACAGTGAAAAGGTTGTAATAGACCCAGCCAAGAAACCAGACAAAAAGAGCATCCAGGTGTAAACAACACCAGGTGAGCAGGACAGGTTACTGAGAAAGCCTCGGCTGTTATGTTACAGCATTGTTCACAGTCAGTTAGCACACCTGTGTGAACTTGACTAGACATGTCTCATGATGTCTGTGTATACAATAAAGTACATACATGAGATTTTAAAAATAGATTGAAAATACCTTGTCCTCATTTCCTGAATATAGATGAACAAATAAACTTTTTTAAAACCTTGTTCTACATTTTTCCCGTCACATGGTTATAGACACACCACACCTGCCCTTAATAAAGGAGAGTGACTGAGTCTTACCAAAGGCTTAAACTAGGCTTTCCCTTCCTGCTAAAATATGTGGCATGTGTAATTTTGGTTTCCACTTTCATCCCGTAAGCTACTTCTAATCAGGGGTTTCCATGGTTATCCTCAGGTTATAACAGTCACCTGTCATCATCCATTATACTGGCTAAAGTTTGATATATAGAGGTACCAGGTCGCCAATCTGAGACGAACTTTACTCAGTACCTATTCCTCAAGGCCTTGCTCAGGGTCAATAGATGATGCTGATGATATAACGTTATGTTATATTGTTCAATTTCAGATGAAGTTTGTTACTGAGCTATGGTACTAAGCTTTTGCATCAGGCTAGGCCTGGAAAACATTGGTTAAGTGTTTGCTATGGTTGTCTGTGTTGCATTTCCTCACTTGGGACATGCTGACAAGAACAACCTGTCATGTAGATGCATGATTCTGAATACCAGTCTTGCACCTTTCTGACCAGTTGGGATTCTATTGTATGATGTTTCAAGATAAAGGTGTTATACGTGTTACCAGCTCTATCTGCAAGCCTTGTCCTTGACTAAGACATACATGATGTGCATCATATGCCACATCGAGTTAAGTGTAATATAACACAACAGACAGATGTTGATTGAATTTTAAGTCATTCTTCCTGAAATGAAAATTTATACCAGACCAGTCCATGAAATTGACATGTTTCTTGTCAAATTGCCATGTGTAAGTCATCAAGAACAAATGTTGAACAGTAGTTCCGATGTCATTGTCCTTGAATTTAATTGCTAGATCTGTCACTTATTATACCTCCTACCGGTATCTACATCTGTTGGTAGAGAGACATTTCCATTAAGGTGTATCTTTCAAAGTGTAGCATCAAGTTTCTCAGATTGATTTTTGTTTTTAAATTTTTTTGCACAAATGTTACAAAAGTGCCATGACCACAATGTTTATCATAGGTGTAAGTAACACAGTTAGTATATCTTTCAGCCTTTCTGCTTTATTTTAACATTTTCTGATATAACAGGATGATATCCAGCGTGCAGTGGCAGTTGGTGTAGACATAGAAGACAACTGGCTGTTCTGGACGGATGTGAACTATGATAGACGGGGCCTGTACCGGGCTCGACTAGATGGTACAGGAGTGGAGCTTCTCGCATCAGAAGGTTGGTACTAGTTAGTACTTTTTTTGTAACAAAATTCTGTGTATTAGGTATCATTTAGCCCCATTCAAAACAGAAACATTGCATGGGATGATGTAGTAAAAGACGTTATATGAAGAAATTTTGAGGAAACTTGACAGGGAGAGAGTGAGTGAGTGAGTGAGTGAGTGAGTGAGTGAGTGAGTGAGTGAGTGAGTGAGAGTGAGGGATAAAAAGGTCTGGTTATGTGATTCGAATAGATTTTCCATTTTCGAAAACTTTCATCTTGTTATTCAGTTTCCAAATGCTGGCAACGATTGTTCATACTTCATATATTGATACTGATAACCAGAATGCCTTCACACACTCCCTTATGACAGAATGGCTTGACCATAGAACTTTCTTTAGAACTAGCCCCTGGGCCTTGATTCTCACATCAAAGCTAGTGACCAGTGACCACACAGAGGTTTATCCCAGGGAACTTAAATGGACAATGTTGCTCTCAGCCTGGAATATACAGTAATGGCTGAGATGCTTTTCTACTGGGAGAAAGATTTGGGTCTTAGCATCAGGAATCTAGTCTATGTCCTTTGCCTTTTGGTTACAAACAGGGTTTTAGGCATGGATCTTACCGGTACTCAAATAATGTACCAAATAAGGGTCGTAGTTCTTGGGCACCATAATAAGCATAATTGGCCTCACTTGCCCCTTAACCCCCAGGTGACAAGTCTTAAACCATGCTATACATCTGTAAAAAAACAGGTTAATCCACACTGTCCATTATAACCTAGGAATCCTTCATCTTTGTTAAACATATGAGGTCAAGGCCCAGTTATCAAGGGAAGGATTGCTAAGATATGACCTGTCAAAACTATAAAAAAAAACATTTCTATTGTCCATTATAAAAAAATGTTCAGATTGCACATGTTGCCTTGCACACAAGTACACTGCGGCTGAAAAAGCTCCCTACAGGCACATGTACCCAGAATAACTTAAGTACAGTATCAGTTCCATTCCCTAAGGTCCTTTCCAACTGCTTGGCCATTTCAAACATAAAACTTGGCACCGAAACACATGCATGACCCCAATAACGGAAATCTATTTCAGGTTGGTCTATTTTCGTACTGTGTTTCTTTTGATATTAGCTGGGTGCTGTGGGCCAGCGATGATTCCGTGCATGACAAGAGGTCCCTGAATTTCTGTTGAAAAGTCAAAGGTGACTCATTAGGTTAGTTCAACAGAGACGCAAGACCAATTGTATGAATCGTGATATGTTGTTTCACAGTAGACCTGTGCTGCTAGTGCAGTTCATCATGATCTTTTTTTCTATAGTCATACTGCTTCTTATGTAATACAAATTACTGTAGGTTTATGACATAATACATACATGAAGAAATTAAACAAAGTAAGATGAATAATCTAATTAAGTCCAAAAATGAGCTCCTTTAAACTTTCAAATTTGTGTGAGTTTGGTATAATGCACAAAACTTCTATTCTATTCTATTGTCTTCAATTGTCTTGTCCTGACTTAGGTAGCCCAATTAGCTGACAAGGCAAGCCTCTAGGCTTACTTGGATGGTGGTGAAAAGTTGCACTCCCGATGTTCTCAATTAACATCCATTGTGTCCGTTGGTAACGAGTCCCCAGACCTTGGGCTGGGATGTTCAGGGCAGATAAAAGGGGGCTTGACATGAAATACTGTTGCTTGCCCCTCAACATCTCTGTAATTTGGTGACCATTAGAACAGCTGGGAAGGATCAGAAAAGCTGAGCTGGACTTTCCCTGTAAAGCCTGTTCTGCGATTTTGCTTCCTGTCTTATTAGACACTTAAAGGTCATGTGGGCTCTGAGTTGGAGACATCTCATGACCGTGGACTTGTAGTTCTGTAAAGCAATATGTCAGTAGTAGGCAGTACTTTAGTACAAAGTTTATTGTTAAAAGGTTTACACTGTGGTCTGTCTCTTGCACTGTCCTTCTATTTCTCTCTGTACCTGATTGTATCAACACTTTGTGGATGGATTGCTGTTCCTATATCTACCTTAAAAGTACACCTGGGTCAGGTTTCACAGGATGTCCTTCATTTTGCCACTGTTTATTTTGGTTTTCATTAGCTTGTTCCTGAAAAGGAGCTGATTAGGGAAAGCTTTTAGCAGGGGAAGGAAATGTCTCAGATTTTTGCTAAAGCTGTCAGTTTTAAAATTATACTGTACTCAAGAAAAAAGAAGTTGTAAGAAAAGTATTTTCTGTCAACTTTTTTGTTTTGTTTTAAAGCATGATGCACTGTACAGTAGTCATTCCAACTTGTATTTGATCCACAGGGAGAGATGGTGAGTATGTTACAGTTTGACTAAAACTTGTGAAGGAAGTGTCTACTGCACTACCTGTATTGAGGCTACCCTCTTCGTCTGTGGAATAGTATTGAGGGTTACTCAATAATTACTACTTTTCCTAATCATTTCCTGATCGCCTGACCTTCCTGTGGAGATGGGTGACATGTCTATGATTCATAGTGTCAACTATGGGACAACAAATCCCACAAAAGGAAAGTATGGAGACACCATGTATGGGGGTTAGAGGGGATTGTGATGTGTCATATTTTATTAATTTCTCAGGGGATCCTGTTTCAGAGGATTCCACTCCCTTGCCCTGCAAAAGGATAGTCATTATATCGCCATATTATCAGGCATACCCAATAATATTTCCCACCTAGGTTTCCGAAGTCTGATGAATGGCATTTGCAATAACTCTTTGTCAACGATGCAAAAACAATTGCCAAGACAAAACCATGATATTATGTATTACAAAATTAATATATTACATACGCATAGGACTGTGGCACATTATACCTTCATACTGTCTAGGCTTTTTCATGCATGTATCAGAAAAGGTTCTTTATACATGTACTGTACATGCTTTCCACTTATCTTATAAATAACTGATTGTGTCTGTGACAATAGGATGCAGTAAGAGTCTCTTGGATTACCGGTAGCTATTATTCAGAGTCAGGAAGAGGCTCATCCACCTGTGAGTCACTCATCTAATCTAATGGGAGTTCATCCTTCGTTATCACACACAAAGAGGAAGTATTTAAACTGACAGGAAGCATGAACACTGTGACCTGCTGGGTGCAAGAGTAGCATTGTCTGTGAAAGGATGATAAGAAGGAATACTCAGGAATCTTTCTGTGATAATTAGTGCAATTGAGGCACTTTTGTATGTATTTTTGAATATCAATTCAGTATATCTGTCTTGCTGAACTCTGGGTGTAGATGCATCCCTTGCTGATTGTTCAATGGAAAATTGATGTGTTGTGGCTTGTTTTGAACAGACACCGCAAATTCTCAGGTGCATACATCTATACAGTGTCGCACAAGGTCTGTTATGACAACAAAGCTATAACCGGAACATATCTCAGCTCTTTTAGCAGTGGTTGTGTTGTGTAAAGCTGAACCCATCATAGAAAGTTTTTTATAATTTCCTTACAGATGTCTTGCTCCGGCTTGTTTAGCACTTTTTTTTGTTGAGTCAAGTAGTGTGCATTTTTCCTGCATCTACCTCGGCTGAGACCACATTTAGTAGCAAGATAAAAAGTTGCCATGCAAAGGTATATGACCTGGAAAAAAAATCAGCAGGAAAAGAACTATCAAAGGTCTTATATGTAGTGATAAAGTTGCATGTAAATAGCTTCACATCTCAGTAGAGTTAATGGCAATAATAAAACTACACAGATGCCAAAAAGAACAGACTCTACAGAGTAGCATGGGGTGAAAGGGCCATCTAAAGAGCAAAATGGTCAAAGGTTAAGAATGCCATAAAAAGTAATCTATACATGTATGTAAGGGCTATTCATCAATTTTCCAGAGTGGATATCCCATAGTTGGGCTGACATGTAGTGATATCCGACATCCAGCTATATCTGGAAATTCCAACAGTGCTTATTTTGTCTGTGGCTGGATGCATTTCTGCTTCTGCTGAGAATATTACCAAGGGAACGGGCAATACCTCTTCTTGGAAGGCGTCATATTTGAGATTCATAGTCCCCTCCATGCTGTTTTTAGCAGAGCATTCCGGCATGAGTAGCATTGCAGCTTTGCACATTGGCTCATATACTTGGACCAGTGTGGTGATATGGCCGTAACTGACACAACAGGTGACACTGACTCATTCTAAACATGGCAGCACTGCAAAATGGCCCATCACTAATAATCCTACCCCAAGGCTCTGCATCAACTCTTGAACCCTGTAGAAAAACATGACGTGGGATGTTGGTACAGTACGGTTTAACGTTTTGGGACTAAGTAAGTCACTAAAAAGAAGGGCTGTGAATTCACCTGACAGGTGATGATTACGAAGAAAGAAATGTTCGAGAGATTTACTACATTCCCTTTAATGATACCCTCTCCTGCTGGTCTATTCTATATCCTGTATTGTATTATGTAGTAATCATCTCCAAGCAGATGCTGTAGTAGAAATCATAGTGTAGATATGTTGTGTTCTTTGATTTGGACTGCTGGGAACTGCACTCAGCTACCTGTTGAGCTTTGCAAACACAAGAACCAATGGTTCATGACTAAATCAACTTGTTAGTGAGCAAGTAAGCCAGAATAATGGTTCATAAATGCATTGATAATTAAGGGAAATTGGTTTGAAAAAGAATAAAAAGTAAAACTTTCAGCTGTTTTGCATTTTTCCAAAGGGCAAGTATGTAACATGCTACAAAAAGCATGCCAACTGTACTAGCTGCAGGATGTGTTGTAATCCTTTCCCCTACAGGTAGGCCTGTTTGTTAAGAAAGCCAAACCCATGGTTAGAGGCAGACATTCTCTCTGCACACATTTCAGCTCATGTTCCTTCCTCCATCTTTTAACTCCAATCCAATTAGCCTACCAGCAAAACCACTGTGTCCTCTTAGGTTCTGCTTGTTGTTGGGATACAAAAGAGCAGAGAGATGCCTGCAGGGTTCTTGTAGAGTGGCCTTTTTTCAGGGCCACTGCAATATTGGGAACGGGACAATTACACCAGCATCACCCAGAAGGAACACACTCTGGAGACAAAATCCCAGCAGGGTACACATCTGCAGGGTGCAGGCTGTACATGTCAGACTGGTGCCAGGCTGTCTCCCACTTATTGTGTTACAAACTGATACAAGACCTGAACTTGGAAGGCCAAACCCCTGATTGCTTGTGATGAGGGGTCCTGGAGGTCACAGGAGTCAAGGGTGTGGGCGGAGGTCAGCCTTAATTGGTACCAATATTCTCCTGTTAGCCCCGGTGGTTCGGGGGTGAGTAAATAACACAGCACTGTCAATATCCTTTTCCTTATTATACAAATCCTGTAACTAAGGCTGAAGTGGCACGCTTCTTTTTTTCATCTGCCGTGAATTATGGTTTCAGCAAAGACACTTGTCAGACGTGTAATCCTGGAGACATTATTTTCCTCATAGTGCCATAGCAGTACTACATGTATGACGTAAACCAGTTAAGATGTCTTCCTAACAGGGGAAAGGTTCAGCATAAAAGTGATGGACAGCAGTATTTGATTTGTATCTTGTTTCTCAATGTTGTCTTTTCCATTAGAATTTTGACCAAAAGAATCTTTGATGATGTTACGCTAGATATTACAGACAAGAAGATCATATGGAGATAGTTAGCATATACTGTGTTATGACGGAATTTCCCCTACAAATTGGACTGTAACAAGGGGTCTGTTCATAGGTAAGAGATCAAAGGCAGTATTATCTTGTGGCATGGTTCTTGTTCAGTTACGTTTTACATGCAGCTGCAAGGGATTCCTGTAATGGCAGCCAAGGTCATTACCTTAGCCAACACAACACCCTTAACCCAACACTCTTCTCTCATCTCCTCTACTCTTTGTACACTTCAGCCCAGGGAATGGGGAGCAGGTGTAAAAGAAACCTTACGTCTTTGCAAAACATCTGCCTCTCTGTGGCCAAAAACAACACCTCAGAAGAGCCAAACACACCCTTGAAACATCTTAGTCAATTTCTTGACCTTCACTTCTCGGTGGTCCGAGTGTCAGAGTTGATAAAGATGAATCAGTTGGTTTTTCTCTTGTCATCTGTCCTGATGGTGGTGACAGTGGTGTGTTCTCTCCAAAGCACAGCTGTGAAAGTAAGCTGCAGCTACTGTATGTTGTTAGAATGCCCCAGCGGGATCTCTTCAAAGGGTAGTCCCTTGACCTGGACATGTGGTGAAGTTTGGTTTTACTGATGTTTTAACATCCTCCCCTGCTTCTGTTGGAGGCTCTAATAGGCCCCAGATGGGTGCTTCGTGCCTGGAACTTGTTGGAGTCTTTCCATAGTGACTTTCCAAAGAACAGTTTAGTCAAGCCTTCATTTGCAGTCCTCATTTGTACTAAGCTGTACCAAGAGAACTGTTTTAGAGAGGAAATGTCAAACCTCACGATGTTTTGAAAGTTTAAAAACACAGATGATGGTGAAAATGGGATAGTGAGTGGGTGTGAGTGAGTCACCATCTACTATTGTCTACATGAAATTGCACTTTCTGTACATGTACAGTACAGTACAGCACTGTACATGCTTGTAAGATTACTGCTTTTACACTTTAGATTTAACACTACAGTATTTGGGATATAAGGTTCGAACTCTTGCCTCCTAAAATGAAAAATTACATACTGTATTTCAAATTTATGCAGCTATATAACATATATTACAGCTGCAATAAAGTGTATGACAACAGTAACATATGTTACAAATGTATATAGCTACATTAAATTGAAGTATTTTGCCCCCCACATAAGTTTATCCCCAAGGAGGTTTTGCTGCATTTTTTTGATAAGAGAATTTCTACTGAATGAAACTTAAGCTTTGGTCAACATTTTTCAACAGAATTGTGTTGACAGTTAAAATGCAGATTATAGCACAAAGAATACCTTCTTAGAAGTTGCCAGGAAAACTTTTCCCAGTTGGCTCCAAATGTTTTTTTCTTTCTGTGCTGTCTGTGACAGATACCAATTGCAAGCTGGCATATTGTACATAGAAAAGCTCATAAAGTACCTCTTTCCTCATAAAGTGCTGTGACATACAGTACATGTGTACTGGTGAGAGCTCTTTGCTTTAGAACTGTGCTTGGAAAATGTGTTGTCCCCTGATTCTGGCAGGCAGGGCATAGCAATTTGTACAGAGACAAGTCAGTGACAAATGCAATGCAGTTACCCTCACCCAAAGTTTGGAAGTTCTCTCCCACCTGTATAGGATATCCTGGTTAGTTATCCAAATGCCCCTGGAGAATGATGCACAGGAAGAAGCAAGGAAGCATTGATGGAGCACAGGCAGGTCTTGTGTATTGTTGTGAAGGTGCCCAGCGACATTAGGGAGTGAACAGAAGCTACTGAGGATGGCACCCAGGCTACCTATCCACTTTCCAAAGGCACAACTTGATAGCAGCTATCCTGGGTCCCAGCCGATTTGTAAAGACAACCCCAATTTTTTTCCAGGCTAGATAGCAGCACCCTTTATACTATAGTTTGATTATAACATGGCCGACTGATTATTTTGGACAGGATACAGAGATAAATTGATACTTACTCCTAAATATAACAAAGGACAATTAAGCAAATGGGAGCACTCTGGAACACTCAGGAGTCTTGACAGGTCCTGCCCACACCACCTCAGGGAGTTACCCCTGATGAAAGAAGGATAACATGATCCAAAACAAAGATGGGAAGATGTTACCTGGTCTTTTCTACAGTTTCCACAGGAGGTCAAGACTTTTTATTGTGGAAAGAGTAGATTTGACACTTCCCAACAGGAGCTAATGGTTACTTTAAGTTCCTGGCTTCTCTATACAGAGTAGACACAATAAAGGAGAACAGGAAAATTTGTTTGAATTCGTACCCTCCAACAAAGTCAAAACTATATGAAAACCCTTTCCTTCCTACAAGGTCATGACGGAATTGAGTAACCTTGGCTCAAGGCTAAAACATCAGGTGGTGCTCTCCCTCTACATGCCATAAGGTAATCCCCCATACAGCTCCCGAGCATGCATGACCTGAGTTTCATGTATGTTCATGACACAGAGTAACCTGTAACAAATAGATTGGTTACTTGATATAACCAGACAGTGTGAAATGTAATTACCTCTACCTCAGCTGACAAGTTGTACGTACGTTATTCCCGTTTTAGATATCTATGAGCCCAATGGTGTGGGAGTTGACTGGAAGGCCAACAACATCTACTTGACTGATGCCCAACAGGGGACAATTGAGGTGATCAAGTATGATGGCAGCAGCAAGAAGACAGTCATCACTGGTTTGGACATCCCAAGAGGCATTGCTGTGGATCCAGCCAATGGGTAAATACTTGCTTGTCATAGTTACCTTTTGCTAGCACGTCGGCACAACATACTTCACCTGAGTGAAATCCGTAATGTATTTTGCATAGCATTCGGCAGAACGTCTCATATAAGGCCGTTCTCGCATGTATAAGGTTAACATCCCATCTGTAGTTTCCAAATGTTATGTCGGATAAGATATCCTCTGCAACAGGCAAAATTCTAATGCCAACGGTGCCAAAAATCCTACGAAAACCATGAAAATCAGGGTTTTCCGCAGGCACAGTACGTTCTGCTGACGTGCTGCTTTTGCCCTATGTTTGCATGACTGACTTCTAGATACAGGTGGTGAAGGAATACAATCAGTGCCACAATAGTATTCAGGCTGAGTGAGTCAGGCTTAGTTAGGCATTAAACTTTGAATCCGATTGAAACATCATCTGTCCAGAAAAAATGTTTGGGTTATTTTGTATTGACAAATGATGCATGCCAGGTCAAGGGTCAGAACAGGCCAAGGTTGGGTCATGTATAGCAAAGAGGCCAGCTTACCAAGGCGTGAAAATCTAAAATCTTTCCAGGTCCTTGGAACTCAAGTCATTGTTTCCACATACTTGATGGTAGTAATTAAAAAGTTAAAGTAAAAAAAAAGTAATCACAAAAAGATATCACCCCTCAAATTTATTTAAGATACATAACAAACATGACATTTTACTAGTACCTTCAAGTTTGCTGATGACAATTTTATAGCTTGGTTTGAAGAAACAGAAATATAGATATACGATCAATAAATGCCACCTATTTGATTTAGCATATATCCTCTCCATATAGACAGTACTGGTTCATGTTATTTGCTAAATGTACATTGTGGTAACTAAAATCCACTTCATACATTATCCAGTTCAAGGCAGTAGCACATTAGCCCTGTCCATTCTTACATTATTTGGTAGACCAAAAAACAGTTACTCAAGCAACTGGATATGATTTTGACGTTTTCAAAATCATATCCAGTTGCTTGAGTAACTGTTTTTTGGCGTATCCTATTACCTGGATGTCTAACCTTCATCGACGCATTATTTGGTAGACTTATATAATTCCAATATTCACAACACTTCTCATCTACATTGTTTACACCAACAATATATCTCTACCACAGGTACTTGTACTGGGGAGACCAGGGGAAGAAGACCATCGAGCGTTCACGTATGGATGGGTCAGACAGGGAGGTTCTAGTGAGTGATGGACTCTTCTGGCCAAACGAGATGGTCGTTGATTACAGGAACAAGTGAGTAGTCACATTTTTCAGTTTTTATACATTAGTTATACTCAGACATGTATTCTAAATATTACATGTACTTTGGATCTTTCCACAAGATCTACACAGGTTGACAATGTTGTGCTACTTTGACTTACCACACTTTTAATATAATGGTTATGTTCAATCTACCTTTATGTTAAGTGCACAATATCATTAATAATAGCCTTTTTTGCACCTTAAAGAAAATAGCATTTTGCACATTGGAATAATAAATAATAATATTCCAGACTTTTGTTTTAAGAGATAGTTTGCTAAAACCAAAATAATATTTTCCTATGGGCCAGCTTTGAATGATTTCACCCTTAATAAGAAAGGGACATATTGCATAGCCAACAAATAAAATAATGCAATCATTTCTGCAGCTAAGTATAGGCTGTAGGTAAAAGGGGGGAAAGACTGTTGACTTACCAGCTAACATCTGAGCCCTCAAGAAATTGAAAATGGCAACAGAACCATCTTGCATATAGTTTTGAATAGTCAATGCTGCCAAGTACACAATGAACATGTGTGTATGTAGGAAGAAACTCTTTATATTTTGATATCATCTAACTCAAAATGTCTCAAGTTGAGGTATGAGGTCTATGGCTTCATAACCAAGGTACTACCATTGCATAGCAACAAAAAATCAAGCATATGCCTATATCACAACAAATTGCACATCTTCAGGTTTGTGTAACCTGGGTGAAGACTTATAAGCTTAATTTGGCTATACATACTGGCTGAATCCACAATTTTTCTAATCATTGACATCTCTGGCAAGCTTTACTGGCCTTGTCCGAAGTTTTGTTTGTTGAATCATCAATAAAAATTCATAATGCATTAGTAACCAATGCATCTTAATACATTTTTGTACTTAAACCTGTATACATGCAGTATTTGTATTTATCAAGAATATCCTTGGGCTGATTTGAAAGCCCCCTAAGTTGGCGTTTTGGGAAAAGGTTGAGGCCTTTGGAAAAATTTTGAAGTAAGAGCAAATAACACATCAGGCTAGGTACAGAACAGTACGAAGGACTACAGTGAATAGCTTCCTCATGTTCTTAAATCAATTGAAAGAAAATTGAACAACTCTTTTTTGCCATACTGAAGGCAGCTGAAGGTTGCTGGATTGTTGGTTAGAAAAGACTGTCAAAGGAACTTTACCTTCAAATGTACAAGGGACTGGAAGACATATTTCACTGTGGTCAGTGTACTATTTATTTAGGAACTTTTCAGAAGTTTTGGAAGGACAAAGGTAGTTTAAAAGACGCCAGGAAGCAGCCTATATGGCACTAGGGACTCATACTTGTCCCACTGATTCCCGTACTTTGAGCGACATCGCTCCTCGTCTCGGAGACAGCGATGGATGAGGAGGATGAGCATGAAGACGATGTAGAAGTACGGCAGGAGATGGCCAAACCCACAGGACATGCAGTAGGCCAGGCAGCCCATCAGGTCGCCGGTGTAGTTGAAGTGTCGTGCCAGGCCCCACCAACCCGACAGCAGAAGCTTGCTCTGGTGCCTCTTCCCGTCGGAGGAGATGTAGGAACACTGCAGGTACTTCGGAGGCTTCCCCCAGATGAGGCAGTTTCCGTCGGTGCGGCGGAACAGGTCCTTCTGTCGGTTGACGGCGCGGAAGATGTAGTAGCCGCCGAGGCCAAGCCCCCACATGGCCAGGCAGTGGAAGGTTGACAGCTGTACAGGGTTGTACACCAGATACTGGCCCTGGGAAGGAAATCAATATTCATGTTTAACTTGTAGAAATGCTGTGCAGCTGTGTTGTGTCAGCTGAGGGATGGTTGCTGTTGTTTCAGCTTTTCTAAATCTGGGGTTCCCGAGAACTGGCATAATTTGGTATCCAATTGAATCTACCCTTTCTACCCTAACCAAGGATAGAAACTAACTTTCTATCCTACTGCTGCCTGGTAGGAAGTTTCTACTCCCTTTATTATAGTTCATTTTGTGGTCCACATTGAGAGAATACATACCTGCAGAGTATACATCCATGGCAGCCACACACAGTCTCCCCAGCCAAGGTACCAGCCAAAGTGGTCATGGCAGATGTCTATCGTGTGCAGGTACCAGTGCTCATTCCAGAAGTAGTCCATGACGTACATGGCTTGCAGCACGTTTACCAGAATCATGGAGTTGGTGACATGTCCGTATAGTTCATATTGCTTGAATGCTGCAGAGAGGTTGATCAGGGTCCAGGCAACGATACCAGGACGGCCGTTGAAGAACAGTTTGAAATCAAACCACTTTCCAATACGAGGGTTGAATTCAACCCCCATCATGAAGTCATAGACGAAGTTGCTGCTGAATTTTCTATCTGCTGCACAAGTTGGGAAGTAATGAGCTTTGACAAAGGCAAAAATAGATACCGCATACCCCATAGTGTTTGCAACCCAGAGAAGACCCCCCCAGTTATCAAAAATAATGGTTGGTGAGAACCAATGGAAGTAAAAGGCATTGGCAAAGAATACTATGTGGGTTATTGCCCAGGCTTGGAGGCCGTTGACGTTGTAGTCGTTAACCAGGCCAGCTGGTGTTCGTGCGCCAGGACGTACGCCTCCTACATAGCCGGGAATTATCTTGTGGAAAACATCGGGTAGGCCAACGTAGAGAAAAATCTGGAAACAAGAATCAAAATATTTTGTTGTAAGACATGCTTGAATTATTGAAGTACAGGCTTCATGCAATGTTAACTAGCTAGTGTCTGTAAACTTAGAGATTTTTGTGAAGCTTATTCATGTGGTAAACTCAAAAGTACACTAACATCAAACAATTGGCACAGTATTTAAAATTTGTAACTGTGGAAGCCTAGCTTCTAAATCCCTAATCTCTAACATGTCTTATTTTTGGAACATTTTTAAGTTGGCATCCTGCTACAAGATAAGTATACTGTACTAGTAATTCTGGCCAAATGCCAACTACTGTCCAACTGCGTGTAAGATACTGCAGTACCTGCCACATTAGCCAGATGGCGCCAACTTTCCAGGCTTTGGCTGTCATGGCCGGTGCCTTCAACCACAGGTCGTGTAGGGTAGCCTCTCCATGGTAGACCTCCAGTAGTGGGGTGGTCAGGGAACACTGGTACTTGTCACAGGCAATGTAGAAGTACAGAACCAGCAGGGGACAGGCAGTCAAGAGGAGCAGAACACCAACGTAGGTAAACAAGTTGACCTCCCTGCAAAAGGGGAGACCATTATTTTACTTTATGGAATTCTCAAATGTTACATGTAATACATGTACCAGACCTGTTTCAGGAAATGTCAGAATCATAAACGGTGATAGTAGTTACTTCATGACTTCATCTTGTAGTCAAGATGAATATACCTAAACTTGGCCTTGTGTTACGTAAGACTGTAAATAATGAACTAAATCAGAAAAGATTTAACTGACAGCTTTGTGTGGTCAGACTTTGTACTAGTCCAAAGTCCAAGGAGATGTGAAAAATGATGGAGCTTCATTGTTTCAATAAACCCATTTTCTTTTTAAATAAGATTTGCAAATTCTATTTCCTTCCATATAGATTTTTACATTCTACCTCACACACAAGTTTTTGGACATAGCATTGTATACCGGTAGGTAGATTTTTACCATGTATATTGTACAATGTACGACGTAACATGCACTAAATCTTCCAGGTATAAAGGGACCTGTGCTTATCACCTGCCCATTTTGTGCTGCTGCAAGCACAATAGTTAGTATGCCTGAAATATGGGTCAGGAGGTGGGATTGCATCAGCAATATCAGCATATCTAAAACAGAAAGGCCTACAGGCGTATGCACCACAAAAGCTTTGAAGCTAAACATTAACCTGCCAGTAAAAAGATAGACACCTTTGGGCTGCCAATGTTGTTTGAGTGGCAGAGAGCTAGCACTTAAACATAAGTCTATAAGTCTATAGTACTGTGTAGACTACTCCGTGTCTATATTTAATACCTCTGTTACATAAGGAACTTGGTAATGAAATGAGTCTGAGGTAGGCAATTCAGCCTCTGTGTAGGTTTTTCATTGGGTTTTCATGTTAAATCTGTTCTAAGATATAATCAAGTCTTACAATAACCTACCAACAGTGGTAAGTGGTGTGATATACCAGTGTACAAACACATACCATGCTCGACCCCATTGTCCTGGCTTGATGGGACTACTCGCTCCGTTGGCAAATTTGACGTCTTCAAGTTGAGGATCCCTCTCAAGGACCAACGTCTCACTGCCGCTGGGCATTCTCGTTCTCTGTTGTACCTTAGCCATGTCTGGATTCAGTGGATGTGAGTCTGTTGAAGAAAAAAAGAGAGAAATTTGCATGTTGTGTCCTTGTGACTAATGTGAAAGGATATCTGGACGACAACATTTTGCATCAAACAAAAGGCAGTGTTATCAAATAACGGACATGCCAAATGCTGAAATAAAAACAGAACAGAAGGTTCCTGTCTTTTAAAACTATACTTAAAAGCCATACCTGGATACAGTTGCCTGACAGCTGATTCAATGCACTACATGTAAGTTCTCATTCTGTTCCAAACACAATGAGTGCCTAGGAGGCTATAGTACAATGTACATGTATAAACTTGTCTAATAACTAAGAATGTGAAGGACAGAGACAAGGACAGGAAACATGACAACACTTCCCCTCAGGTGAGGGTAGGCATAGTGGGGTGATCCACATGGCCAGGCACAATGTGTTATGTCATTGGCTAACCTCCTCTGTTGTTCAAACAGCACAGGAAGACCATTGTTTGAGACAGGACTCAAGGTACACTTTGCTGTGGTCATCGTGCAAACATAGGCACGTGTATGAAGTGAACTATAGACATGTGTTAAGAGTACTAGTATGTATCAAAAGTATGAGATAGATTTAAATCCACTAAGCATCCCCAGAACAGATTTAATGGGAGTGTAGTATGCAGTGTTCAAACAAAAGCCTTTGTTTTTGTAATAATTGTTTCAAAGGTGTCAACTTCTGTGTAGTTACTTTCCATTATGGCTATGTGTATTTGCGTCAGCATATAATTTTAGTCCCGAGACTGATAATTATATTTTCAACAGTACGTTTCTAGGCCCAATGTATGTGTAATGTATTTACCTGCTTTTGTTCAACACTAAGTGACTAAGGCATGAATCATCTGACCTGCCCTTTAGCTCATCAGGGAAGAATGTTGGGATTTCGATCCTATCATAAGCTGTTTATTATTCCTATAACATAGCATGCTACCTGGCAGGTGCTCATGTTTTGCAACGAGTCTTTTGTTGTGGATTTGTAGCTGCCCATTTAGCCTTACACAAGTGTATATAAGACAAGACAACTACATGTAACATCATGAAAGGCTGTTCCATTTTATAAAGTTCAGACAGAGATTCCATAATGAGATTGATAAATACATGTAGATAACATACATTGGGCCTAGAAATGTATTGTTGAAAACATAAAACAGTCTCAGGACTGGAACTTAATATGTGCTGATGCAAATACACATGTACCCATAAGGGAAAGTGTTCCTTATCTATACAGGAGTTGACACCTTTGAAACAATTATTTCAAAAACAAAGGCTTTTGTTTATACCCTGCAATAAACGATGCCAATTAAGAGCTCAGCTGACATTATACAACTTGTATATTAGGTCAACTGCCATAGCTCAAATTGCTGACGGAAGCATTTTCTGTTCACTTCAAATATTTAATTGGGGAGAGCAAAAAGAACCTTGACCCAAGGCTGATTTTGCCCAAATTCATTAATTCAGTCCCCATTATTTGCATTTGAGTGATTACCATGCTGTGAATGTGGTTCTTCCAGCTCCTCCTGCAGGAATTCCTGTGGGGTACTACAAGGGGAGTCACAAAAGTGAGCAGCAGTACAGTACAGTATACACACACATCAACACAGAGAGAGAATACACATAATAGCAAAGAAAACAAAACAAAGGTTGTAGGTAGGTGCCAACTGCATTTAACAATTCCCAGAACTGGTCGGACTACCTTCAGAAATCATCCATGCAGAGCATAATGTCACAGTGCCAAACCAATCATGCCACACACATAATAGTCATTATTTGTACTAAAAGCTGCATAAAGAGAGCAGCAGTACGCATACACATACACACAGAGAATACACGTAATAGCAAAGAAAACAAAACAAAGGTTGTAGGTGCCAACTGCATTAACAATTCCTGGAACTGGTATCTTTAGAAATCATCCATGCAGATCATAATGTCACAGTGCAAAATCCACCAATCATGCAAAAACTCACACACATTATTTGTACTAAAAGCTACATGCATTATTAATAATACTTGCGAAACCCGTACAATGCCCAGACCAATTTCCAACAGCACTAGTCGACATGACTTTTGTACATGCATCTAGCTCTGCATGCATGACATAATTCACATCATGCCAGTCTTTGATAAATGTACATGGACAAGAATGCACTCAAGGCTATAGCTAACGTAACTGTTTTGTCCTGTTCAAATGCAAATGCAGAAATCAGCAATACACACCTCATGGGTCTCCTCTGTACAGAAGTGTCTTAAATGCTTCTGCATGGGTTAGCTCATCATCAGTTGGCCCATATTACTGTGGAGCAGACAATTTTGTGTGAGTAGGCTATGTAAGGGGTTTTGTGGTAAAGTGGCCATTGTTAGTTTTGACAATACTTAACCCCCTAACTAGCAGATTTATGGCTTGATAGTCAACAAAATTTGTTATGATGTTGATAAAGTGATAAATTTTAACGCTGTTCTATATAGAAATGCCTTTCTTGTTAAAAGTAGTATACTTGAAAACTCCTTTGTACCCTCACTAGATGCCCCATACCAGGGTGTACTATGGGGTGATATGGAATGGACCAATCAGAGAGGTTGTCAGTTTCTCCCCATAACCAATAGTGACCAGACTATTGTCCTTATTGGGCCTTTTTCCACCACCACTTTTGCCTGAAGGTATTTCCAAGTGTTCACAGCTGCCTATTAATTCCCATATAAATGTCAACTACCCAGGGTTCAAGCAGGCATAAACATTGACCTTGTTAGGTAATTACATTGAAGGATGTTATGTGCATTGAATGTTGAGTGTTGTTGTAATGTTCATCTCAATGCTGAGGAATCATAAGATTCATCACCAAGTTGATACCAATTGTATATTTAACAGTTGCAAGTAACTGTAAGTTGTTTTAAAGGAATAACTGCTGAGGCCCAGACAAGGTTTGCTTTGCTACAAATGTACATACAGACTGGTAAAATGCATGGTTTCTAGTTCAAAGGCATGTGTACCCCTTCTACATATAGGTGAAAGATGATGAAGGTTTGTCAGGTAAAGCACTTGAGCAAAGCTGTACAAATTACCCTTAAAAGCCAGTCCGTTAATTATATCTGCCCTATTCTGAATGTTCTCTGTGGGAAAGGAAGGTGTAATGTTTCAGTCTGTTTATGTAAAGCATTTGTCATCTCTCCTAATGTGTGGGCCCCACATTTAAATGGCTAGTCAGGCTAATGGACCTGTGAAACTGGGTGGTGTAACGACTTTTGGCTGACTGGAGTATAGATGGAATGTTGACATTTGTTAGACCCGAAGATTGTATTTCGATGTTAATTTAATAAGGAAAAGAGTGTATAGGATCCACAGCCTTCTCAAAAAATTTCCAAATATCGATCTGGATTTTATTCGAACTATATTACTAATTATGACGTCATTTCTGTTTGATGTATCAAAGGTCAAGGTAAAGTCTTACACAAACAATAGGTGATTATGCAATAGCATTTGCTGTGCCTCCCTTGTACCTGACTATTTATGTAAATTAGCTGATAATTAGGTTAAGGTGGGTACCAGGCTGTACTAATTGACTTGGCTAGGTGTAAGCTACCTGAGAAGGTACATTGTGTAGCACGACATATAATGTCATGTTTGACAATTTTGTATATGATATTACTTGTAAGCATCTGTATCTGAGTTTCCATATTGTTGTGTCCCAAAAGAAATTGTATGCAAATACACATTACTCTGATGCAACAATAACCAGTGTTCAACCCATCAAATACCGTGAATGAATTATTTTTTCAATTACAACACAACAGCTTCTGGCCATAAATGATGGATGACACATTGCATCTGAGCTACACGCCAGTCAACCATGTCTGTTGACTGTTGACCTTGTCACGTATCATTGCTTGTTGTATAAACAATTAGCTCGCACAGACTCCTCTGTAGCACATACCTTTAAAGCCTTGAGGCAGCCAAATAAATGTATTTCTTTTGATCAAGGAATATTTGTAGCTGCTTTCTGACTTGTTAGATTTGCTGGTGGACCTTTGGCCTGGCCTGGTACAAGTGGGTACTGTTACACAACAAACAAGGCAACAAACTAAATATTAACAAGTAAAGTTTGTCGTCCATTTGTTAGCCATAAGCCCACAAAGTGGGTCAAAGTGGCAAAATCTGAGTCTGGGTACTGCTATTAACTGAATGTTGATTTTTTTCAATCTTGTTTTCTTGGAAAAGGATAACATTTCATAACTGGTATATATAGAAATAGTTTGAGTATCATATTCAGTACATCTCAAGGTTAACATACTACAGAACGCATTTTGGAAAATGCGTTCTAGAGTCTGTTGACCTCTGCAGGCATGTTTGATCTCTTTATAAGCTAACAAGACATATTTGAACCCCATTTTTAATTTGAAAGTAGCATTTGCTGGTCCAAACAAGAGGTACATTATCTAACAGATTGTGAACTTTTGTTGCATAAGGGTAAAAACTTACAAATGTTAAGAATAACCATAATAGCTATGTAGTCCTTGATGACAAGCTTATCGGTATTGTCTCATTATGCTTGGAGTATGCCTATCAATTAAGTATCTTATCACTGAAGACTTGAGGCTTTCTTTACTGGTAAACCTTTTCTGGGAAAAGGTGGAAAGTATTGAACAGTTCCTTCCTTATTGACCATTGGCTAGACTGTACTTTGATGAAGTATGCCTATCAATTAAGTATCATATCAGTGAAGAGTTGAGGCTTTCTTTACTGGTAACTTTAAAAGTTTTTCTGGGAAAAGGTGTAAAGTATTGAACAGTTCCTTCCTTGTTGACCTTTGACTAAACTGTACTTTGACACAGTTTGACATGTATATCCAAACTTATGTTTCTGTAGGAAGCTGTACTGGGTAGATGGCTACACCCGACTGCTGGAGTCGTACGACCTGCAGTACAAAACTCACCGCCAGGTGGCCAACATCACCAACGTGGTGGGGAACAGTGTGTCCTTCGGCCTGGCTCTTCACTATGACAAGTTGTACTTCACAGGTATGTTGCAACATTGTTGGCTAAAACTGTTCCTATGATTTTTTCTTCATGTATGTCAAAATGCATCCAAATGCCTCCAAATGCATGCATCAGAATGGATTGGAAAATGAAAAATTACACAGAATTTTTGAGAGGGTGATGTATCTTTCAAGGAAATGGTTTATTTTCAAATGTCTGATCTAACTTTTTTTTAATTGTCTGAATGCAATTTTGTACAATCTTGTTTTTTCTGTGTGTAAACTTGTGTTGCACCCTTCAGTGTGGGATGAAGGGGCTGTGTACTCCATCCCGACCAGTGGCAGTGGAGAGCCCACCCTGCTGCTACAGGGGCTGGGTGACCGACCTTTTGGTCTGCAGGCAGTGGACAGTAATACACAGAACACACTCGAAGGTAAGAACGGCATCCTATTAATCTTCTTCTTTAAATTATTAGTTAATTACTCAACATAAACTAGCTTGGATTCTTTGCTAAGAGTAAGAGAGAACATTGTTCCACAAAGTGAAGATTAAAAAGATTAAAAATTTCTTCCTCAGGATCCAATTTCGTATCCAAGTTCTTAATGACTCCATGCAGTTTCCTGATACTTTCTTGAGTTCGTTCCTTGCTACACCTTTACACTCTGTTTATTAACATACATGTATAACTAATGCTGTATATATTGTATTTAAAAGTTTGCAAAATGATCTGTCCACAGTGGGTGCTTGTGGAGACAACAATGGGCAGTGCAGTCACTTGTGCCTCCCCACGGGTCGCTACAGCTACAAGTGTGCCTGTCCCAGCTACGGTGGGATGACCCTGGGATCTGATAGGAGAACTTGTGAAGGTCTGTTTTACTGTCTGAGACTCTTTTGTTCTGATATTGCCAGAAACTTTAAGTTATTTTGCATCAATTGACAATGAAACAGATCATTACAATCATCACAGGCAGACTAAGCTGGTAATGGCTGACCCACAAAAAAAAAGATGTAAATACAAGAAAACAGACAAATGATTTAGAATCTAATATGAAATGCAAGTCCTGTAATAAAAGGAATAAATTGTATGTAGTCACAAATAAACCAGTTACAAATATACAGTTCAATATACACTGAACACTGGTCTTGAAAGCAATTCAATATAATCATGATACATTGTAAGAAAAAAATAGGTCTAACATCCCAACAGTTACTAACAAGTTGTTGTTCACATACAGAACCCTCCAAATTCCTGCTGTATGCTGCTGGTGACACTGGACATGTCATGATGCTGTCCATGGATGCCGATGCTGGGCAGCGACCGGTCATCGTAGCACGGGGGGTGCGACCAGTGGCCGTAGAGTACGACCCAGTGGAGAAGGTGGGTAGAAGTGATACAGTGCAGGCTTGTGACCAGTATATTTGCTCCAAAGCAGTTTACTAAGCAATGACTAAGTGCAGTGCCACTGAATGATATGATAAGGTAGTATGAACACCAGTGTTAATGGTAGCTACACATAACTCTTTGTTTGAGTGTTTGACACACATCTTGCACAAATCTACATTGTGTTTCATGCATAATATTTCTGATATATTCTGAAAGACTCTTCTTGTTACTGCTAGCATCTTTACAATCTCCCATCTTCATCACTTGTCAAGCCAGACTTAATCTTCAATACTTGTCATACAAATTCTTACATTCTAGCTTTTTGTCATTCCTCCTACAGAGGGTGTACTACAGTGATAATGGGATGTTCCGAATCTGCAGAGTGTTCCTCAACGGCACAGGCTTTGAGGTGTTCCTGGATGCTGGCATTGGTGTTGTCGATGGTAGGTTTATGTAATAAGTTACAAAAGAATTGCACCTAAGTTTTAAACTATCGCCATTTACTTGTTTTCTGGCATTAATGAATAGACTGGTGTCTGTTTCTTGTTTTTTGATAAACTGCTGAATCAGTTGCGAGAACAAAATCTGTTGATGTTCTTTTATTCATTTTCTACTAAATTAAAAATACATTATATTTTTGAAATTGTACACATTTACACAGTCATGTTTAACTGAATATTAAACATTGTCCTGCAGGCATGACTCTGGACTGGCGTACCAGGAAGCTTTACTTCACTAACATGGGAACACACTACTGGGGCGGAGGGTCTCCATGGCAACGGGTGGAGATGGTCAGTCTGGACGGCAAGCAGAGGAGGAGGATCGTGGAGAAGTCTTTGGACAAGCCTCGAGCCCTGGTGGTGGACACTGAGAGGGGGTATGTATCTGTATCTACATCGTCTGACTGTTTCCAAAATCATGTCCAGTTGCTTGAGTAACTGTTTTTTGGCATTCTTTTGCAAATTTTATGCTATTTCAAAAACTAGCATAGAATGTGGCCTTCTTCAGCAAATGCCAGGACATGGATGATGTTCTGTCCTAAAAAGATGAAGAAGATTGACATTCTCTTCTCTCGTTGTGTTACCTTTCCTAGATTCTTGTATTACTCTGACTGGGGAGAAGCTGCCAAGGTGGTGAAAGTTGAGCTGGACGGTTCCAACCCTGTAGTGATGAACCACAACGGGATGCACAACCCCAACGGCCTGGCCCTGAGCGACGGGCAGCTCTACATCCTGGACTCGCACGCCCGTCTGGACGTGGTGACGGAGAACGGCACCCAGCTGGCCCCGGGAAGCCTGGACAAGATTGACCTGGACGACCAGGACATCAGGAACACTAATGATGGTCTGGGCTTGCAGGTAAGGCTGGGATTTCCTTGGTACATACTATGATAACTTGCTGGACAATGATCCTGTGATATGTGATTTCTTATCAATGGAATGGTCTAGAACAAGCCTCTTTATGTCTACTGATAAAGATGTGTCGTTTCTGGTATAGAACCCTGCAGTAAGTCACTAAAGCCCCTGGCTTCACAAATATCAAGCTCCAGAAATACAGGAAGTATAAACAGGACAGTGTGCTAAAAGGCTTACCGCATTCTTAGTCAAGTCCCATTTAAAGGCCATGCCTTGAATTCCTATTAAAACTAGGCTAATCTCTGACTCTCTCCTTGCCATACTTTAAGGCCAGAATTAGGGCAACAAAGCTCGTTAGGCAGAGGGTAATGCAGAAGCATAGCTAACATTTCTTTGTCCTTGCATCAGACCCCATTTGGCATCTCTGTGAAGGGGAACCAGATTTTCATCAGTGATTGGGGCACCAGTGCTATCCACCTCATCAACGCAGCCACCAATCAGAAGTCAACGCTTGTCACCGACATCGGCTCACCAATGGGGGTGAAGTACGCGGAACGTGATGCTGCACCGGTACAGAACCCCTGCCGGGGTCACGACTGTAGCGACATCTGCGTACCAACTCCAGACCAGGCATTCCGCTGCCTGTGTCCTGACATAGGAGGCAAGGTGCTGGATGACGATGGAAAGACCTGCAGGAGTAAGTACTACTGAGAACCAATAAAAGAAATAGAAGAACCATTTTAGGGCTGTAGAAACTATGGATGGACAAACGTTTTTTGAACTCCCCTCAACTTCATCAATAATTCACATGTACACTTTCATCTCTCCAATCCTTTGGTTAAAGTTACATTTGTGCTACATTGTTTGTTGTGCAAGATATGAAATATTCATACCTTGGCTGTACTAATGCAATATTCTGTGCATTACATACATGTGCTTGTATATGGATTATCCATAACTGCTGTTTACTTTACTACCCTGTGTGTAAGGAACATACCTTATATAATTGTGCCACCTAGCAGTATGGAATATAACTGCACCTGATACTTCATCCAGTCTCAGTTGTTCACACTTCCTCTCGGCTGTATTTGGTACACATAACTTGTACTCACTTTTCCCTGCTTGTGTCGCTCCCACAGGACCAAGCAAGTTCCTGCTGTTTGCTGACTATGCTGAGATCCGTATGCTAGGCATGGACACCCAGGACAGCTATGCCTACCCTGTGGTGCAGAGGCACGAGTACTTCACCAACCTGGTGGCCGTGACCTATGATGCAAGGGAAGAATACGTCTACTTCAGCAATGTGGACAGTGGTAAGTTTTCATAGTAGAATCATGGTTGGAAATGTTAGGACGATTATGTAAATGATGTACAGTGTAGTTCATAATGTACTACTGTAGTCAATCATTGGTGCTTATAAACCTGCTTTTCTGAGAATTATCCAGTGTCACTGACAAAAGGTAGTGGATGCTACCTGAAACGTCTGACCGTTTCCAAAATCATATCCAGTTGCATAGCTGTTTTTTGGCGTATCGTATTACCTGGATGTCTAACCGTAACAGTGTAGTCTTCTATTGTATGTCATTACTTATAAGAGATGAAAAGCGTTAGCTCTAGAACAAATTATTTATTTCTGCTGTTGTTTGTTCCCAGGTATGATCATGAAGGTTCACCTGAATGGCACGGGTGCCGCTGTGGTGTACTCCATGGCTGATGTGGTGGATGGCCTGGCCATCGATCCCGTGGCACGAAACCTGTACTGGACAGACTACACCAGCGGGACTGTGGAGATGATGCCTCTGGATGGGAACGTGTCCTCCCACGTGGAGCTCATCAGTGGTCTGGACAAACCCAGGGCCATCGGCTTGGATCCAAACCAACGGTATGGATCAGATGGCTTTAGACAATGTTTAGAGTTAGATGCTCATAGGTTAGGTGTAACATGTTGTTCGGTGTAATGTAGCCAGCAACTGCTGCGCCATGTACCTGTGAAGCTCATGTGTTACGCCGAAGGGTGGTTATACTGGGTACACCAATACAGATACAGATCTTGTTGCATAGGAAGTTAAACCTAGTATTATTTACAAAACAAAGCAGTATGCCTACTGTACATAAAACCATTTTATTTAAGTCACAGTTCAGAGAAACATGAGGGCAAATTGAAGACAGAAATCCTGTATATTTGAACTAGACAATAACTTCCATGTTTGTTGATTAGGTGACCATTATTTTGCAGGAACTGTGATCGTGTTAGGTTTATGAATGATGTTAGTTTATCTGAAATGGTTATCTGACTGGTGTATGTATTTGAGTACAAATTCTCACGTAAAGTCACATCTTTTATGTAGAATGTATGATACACATTTGACCACTCACAATCTTCTCTTATTGATGTAAAATGATGAAGTAAGCTAATATGTTTAACATATTGCTACACACCAGCTACCTGTTCTGGAGTGACTGGGGTGAGAATGCGACCATCTGGCGTGCAGACATGGACGGTTCCAACAAGAATGCTCTCATCGATGAAGAACTGCAGTGGCCCAACGGAATCGCTCTGGACTCTGTCAGGGAGAGAGTCTTCTTTGCTGATGGGCACTCTGCTCAGGAGAAGATAGAATACACAGATTACAGAGGTACAAAATGTACTTCATGGTTAGAGAAATGGTCCAGACTGAACGTATACAGAAACAGTGTATGACATTGTAACAAATAACAAACTTGTTGGCTGTGATGTTACTGTTTTCACTACAAAATATGCTGCTGTGTGTCCACTTTTGCTGTGAAAAATGCTGGTTTTTTGGTAGTTGATTTGATAGCGATGACTGGAAAGTAGCGATAAATGTGCATGTTTGTGACAACTTATTTTTGGAATGGTAACGAACCATTGATCGTTTCCTTAGGTGTGAACAGAACAGAGCTGGTCCACCTGACGGACACCCACGTGGACCAGGTGTTTGGGCTGACCATGCATGACAACACCCTCTTCTACTCTGACTGGGTCAGCAAAGGGATCCACCTGACTAACCTGGACAGTGGCATCACCCAGACACTGGTGGAGGGGCTGACCCGACCCACCCAGCTGTACCTGCACCACCCTCAACCGTATCCTGGTAAGGCCCTTGTCACAGGCTAATTATACTTTTAAACATTCACATACAAATTGAACCATTCACTTTCAGTGAATCATGAAAATGGCTATACTATTTGAATGATTTAGCAGAGACAATTTATGATAGAAATCGTTTTTGTTAATAAACATCATTTTATCTTCCCACAGAGAATGAATGTACTGCGTATGGGTGCAGTGACATGGCCATCCCTGTGCCTGGTGGCTGCCATTGTAAGTGCAGAGTGGGGAGGAAGTTACGGGCAGATGACAAGACATGTGAAACAGGTGATACTCACAGACATATCCAAGAAGCAATCTGTTTACATGATAAATGTGTATATAGGAATAGCTGTGCTATTTGTAGACACTAGTAATGGCACATTGCTTTTACCATGTTGAATGTGATTTTTTTTCTATTAAAAGACACACATGGTTAGGCAGTACTATGAAGTTGAAAGTATCTATGTACGGTAAATTTTTGTGCATATTTCATGCTGATATAGATGGTATGCCAATAGTTCTGCTTGATGATATCAGCATGTACAATTACCTGTGTATCCTAATGGTTATCTTGTAATCCCCAGCCCCTGAACCCTGGGTGCGTGTGGAGTCGTGGAGGTGTGCCCAGACCTGCCATGAACAGGCTTACTGTGCTGTGGACGTCAGCAACCCCACCGTCTACAGATGTGTCTGCAAGGCTGGTTACCAAGGAAACGGTTTCCAAGGCAGCGGTTGCACAGGTATTCTTCACGTACATGTATATCACTTTCTAGGTTTTTTTTACTATACATGTATGTATATTGTTGTCTATCATTTATGACATCTCCCTGGATGTAGCATGATTGACCAATCACGGTGGTAAAATCTGGGCTGAAAAGTTCCCACATGTCATAGAACCCGAACTGTGTTCGATCGTGTTCGATCTGGGGAATTCGAATCGAACCCGCGTTCTATTTCGGGGTCACCTGCGGTCATTTACTATAAAGCGGCAAAACAAGCCTTTCTACCTCCGTGCATTGCAACAGATAAAAAACAACACTTTTCTATAGATACAAACAGTATCCTGGACAGTACATGTCCGCTATTATTTTTGGTGGGTATGTAACATGTAGCGAAGCTACTGTCGTATCCTTGAGTGACCTTGAATACTGTAATGATTCTTTACGCCAGTATGAATAACACAATGCACACTTTCTGGCGATATGACATGTCTCCAAAACTCGTTCAAACCTGGAAACATGGAGAGTCAAACATACCCCATTTACGGCTCAAAAT